AGCAGAGTTTCGAGATGATGGGGAGATAGCGGCACTGTCTGAAACAGAACGTCAGGATGCATGGATGTCGTCGACCAACGATGCAAATGAGGGCGCACTGGGAACATTCCGGCAACTTCAAAATAAAAACCCTGGAACCTCAATGCACCAGGTCAACGCTAGGATGGTGTTCAAGCGAAATAACACCGACGTTTTTATGGAGACGCTTACGGACAAGCAACACGAATTTCTGGTGCAGACAACTCGTCAAGTGGATGCAAGCGGAATCGAGAAAAAGCGGAGAAAGGAACTTACTGAGCATAAAGCAAGAACCGCTGTCAAAAAACGCGAGGCACAAGAGAGATTTTCTCAGAGAAAGGAGAAGAAGAAGCAGCGCCTGGACGAGCTGGAGTTGATTTTGGATGAGAAGGTACTTGATGGACTTAACAGGGAGGAACTCGACGGCCAATGGGATCTCCATCGACGAGACAATAACACACTTCCGGCCAAGAATTCCTTCAAGCTCAAGAAAAATATACTTATCGCATTGAAGGCTCAAACAAAGATCACTTGCGAAGCTCTGGCTAAGCAGGCACATGTCTCAGAACTTCGTACGCCAGCCTCAGGTGGCTCACACTCAGGAGGTGATTGAGTTCAATACCTTTATTGCGCTTACTTTCCCTAGTTTATGTACTATATCTTTAATAATGACTTCTTCTATGCTTTTAGAAATAAATAGAAAGCTATCTTACTGATGTAGCACGGCCAGGGAGTGAAAATGAGTAGTTCAAGGACTTCACTATGACGAGACGCGACTCGCACACACCGGAGTTTGAAATTTTGGGGATGGGAAAGCTTACATAACCGTAACGCGTCTCGGGTGGGCGTTGCCCACCCTCACAGTACACTTTGCCCTTCCGTTCATTTACTTCGCAGTTCCTTGTAATTTTTATGCTCTCAACAAAACCACACATATGTCTATCATTCACGCCAATGTACATTATACTTTTCCAGCTTCGTTACAACTGTAGGTGTGACGGTCCTCGTCGAAAAACCGAAAATCAAGGCTCGTGTAAGTTTCTGTCGTTCGAAATCATACATTGTGGGGCAATTTTAAAGGTGAAGAGGCGTGACACACAAAAAATGCTAGTGACGCATGCAATTATCTCTGTGCAGAAACAATATGGATTGAAACTGGTGATTTCGACTTACAAGATTAGTTTATCGAATGTGCCGTGTACTTGCAGGCATAGAATCCTAAATCTCCGTGTAACATGGGGCCGAATCATATACTCACTGGGATAATTTGAATCAGATCTGTTTAGGTTTCTTCGCTACATAGTACCCATCGTCTCCGGATTCCACAATTGGTAGCCTAAGTCGTTTACTATCTCGTAGGTTACCTCCGAGCACTGGATCATTGTCCTCCGTAGACGTTTGCCCCTTCGAAGCACCTGAAGTCTGCTGATAATTTCGCTAGTGACCAGGGCAGCTACCGCTTCCTGAACCGTGGTTATCATCCAATCATGAGCTTCAATCTGAGCCATGGCCCTATCATATTTGCGTGAAGGGACGTTCTCGTGTTTCTGGCGGTTGCATTGCGCAGCCATCTTCTCGATCTTGCGATCCGTGTCTGTCAGCAGATTATGGTATCGCATGCCCAATTAAAATATTCTGCCAAGATATCCAGCAAATCCGGTAATGGCGGATCTTGGAGTACGTGCAGCTCATTGTCCGGATTGATAAGACGCGCTGAAACAAACTCCCAGGTGCCCTTGAGTACGGCAACAAGTATACTCCCAGCCAAGTAATCATAATTTAGTTGCCGTGTTGCGTCTCCATGCTTGCCGGGTTGTTCGTGTTCAAGCGATGGTCCCAGTCAGTCAGAAGACTCTCACCTGACGGTGACAATATGATATTACCTGAACTGATGTCCTGATGGAAGTATCTTGGCATGAACATATGCATACCTATAGACCCGATTCAACAAGCTGATCGGAATGAAAAGAAAGTGGAGAGTTCACCTTCCAAAGTGTTTACCGAGGATATGAGTTGACTAAGAGTTGAGAACTGGCTCAGCCTAGTGCCCGCGATGCCAAGCACGATACGGTAATAATGGAACTGTCCATATATCCATATGCCGAGATATTGTTTGCTGTAGTCCTACGGCCGCGACTTCTCAGGACGTCGCCGTTTCGTTCCATGGGAGGTATATGCGGGAAGCTGTGAGACCTACTCGATAGATATCTCCTTCCTTCCATACCGACTGTGAATCGCGTCGTCAGGTGTCCTTCATGAAAATCTTCTTTTGGTCAACTAGGTCTCATAAAACGAAAGTCCTCGTGCAGCTACCGGTGAGGTCCCACGGCATGAAGTCGGGGCGAGGACCATAATATGTATGAGGCGGTGAAGTTGAATTACATGCTCGAGATATGGAAATACCGACATAGTAGGGTTCGCTGGTACAGGTTTAAAATGCGCACAGACTTCAGACCCGGTTGTTGGAGTCCTTCAAGCTGTCAAGGCCATAAGACATCGGCTCGTACCAGCATGCGATCATCTCACCTATCATTCAAGGCCTTGGATGTCGTCTTTGACGAGAAAAAGAGTGATACCACCCGCACAAGGCGTCGAGCGCGCCCAAAACGTATCGTCACGACCAGGCGATGTTTACAGTAAGAACCGGCATTAAAGGGAGTCCTAGTCAGCATTGACGTTGAGTCAGAGCCAGTGAGCCTCACTTGTCACGTGAGAGCGTTTTTGAGCGCCGACAAGATGTGTCGCACCTCCGAGTTCTAAGGCTTTCTCCTCATCCTCTTTGTCGTCAACCATTCGCTTTGTGGGACAGCTTCTCTTGAAATGGGGTGAAAATGTTAGCGCAGGCTGGATATTGTCGCCGTCGCCCAGGACCTCGCACATCGTTGCATGTGTATTGGAGGGGCGAGAGTAGCGCTGTGCTTGCGACCGTGTTCTCAGTGGACTGAGATGGTGATCTATTACGTTCCCTCTCGCTCTTCATTTATATACGTTTTGTCTTGTGCCGAAATCCCGTTGGGGTTGTCAGTCCAGTGTTCATCTGCCGGCGATCCTCCTGCTCGTAAGTACCCCGACGGTCACGCAGGCAGAGCGTCAAGTGACGATCAAGTTGAGCGCTTGTGAGCCACACAATCTTTTGACGCCATTGCATCGTTCCCTCGTTGACTAAAGTTATTTTCTAATCGTCTGGCGTTTTGTCGCTGGGCTGACTTGTGCCAAATGCCCTTGGATTGCCCGGAGAAGCTGGGTGATGATGCTGTACAATCTCCACGATACATACTAGATCCTCTGTAGCGCTCCTCAGTATGAGCAAAGGTTCACATACACAGCTTTCAAGCAAGTCTGAGACATCGGGAATTGCAATTCTCGTGGCGCAAGCAGTGCCATAGCATCACTGAGTCAGACCAGTTAAAATGCGGACTGAAGCCGGTCCCGTTCACAATTTTCCCTCCACAGGCCAGCCTCCAACTATCTCGTTCATACTTTACCCCTTTGACTTTGTCGACGGTTTAACATGGACACCACAGCATCCTTTCCCCCCTCAGACAAACTACCATCCAACCTTTCAGCTATCTTGACCAAGTCACCGAGAAATAGCACCGGTGGCAGCTCAACGGAGGCGTCGGATAAAATGTGAATCGCCCCCCTTTAGACTATCAGGGACACCAACTTGACGGAAAGCAAATCATGTAGGTCTACTTACCCGTTACGTTTATGGGACTGTTTGAACGAAGAAGTCAAGAACATGGACGCTTATCTCCTTGAGTCCGGCGGCCAGGTTCCGCCTTATCATGTCGTCTCTCAGGTCTGGGGCGATATTCAGGAGCACTTGTGCCTGGCAGGCATCTTATGGGAAGTCCCCATCAGCAACAGTCACAAATGGGACGCCATTTTGTCCTTTTGCAGGACGAAAGGCGTCAGATGGCTGTGGATGGATGTCTTGTGCATCAATCAAACCCCGGAGAGCAAAGACGCACAGGCTGAGAAGGCCCGCGAGATCCCCAATATGAGCCACTACTACCGGAATGCTGTGGCGTGCCTTGTTGTTCCGACAGACCACGACACTTTCTCCCACTCCTACTCGGGCGATGATCCTGCGATTCCACCTTGATAAACCATCAGCGCCCTGTCCGCCATAGACCAGCAAACTGGCCAATCTACACCCGTCGATTATTTGGCTGCATTCCCGTAGACTTTTCGCGCTCAGAGCTGCCTGCATTGCATTTTGATCCCTGGAGACAAGTTCGCCTTGGGTCGGAGCGTGCGGACGGATATGGGCAGACGCAATTGTCTCCATGAGCGTCTTCATGGCAGGGGCCATGTCAAATCCTCGAGAAGCAAAGAGCCATAGGATTAAGAGCATTTTTCCCATCTCTCCGCTTCCGGCTCCTATTGGCTGGCTGACGGCGACTACACGTCCCACAATGCGCGCTGCTATTTCTAGCCCTTGCGCGGTGAATAAGACTGGATGATCGTTGCGGTGCGGTTGCGACAATGTTTCGTCGTGAAGTCCCGAGTCTATGCCGTACCAGTGGTCGTCTCCCGTTATTACAGGCATCCACTGTTCTCCTCTTTGACCGTGCATTCCCATGATATCATTAAGTAGTGGCCATACCCTGCCCGATGTAACCGCCTTAACAACGATTCGCTTCCAGAGTTGCTCTAGCGCCGCCCGCCCTCCCCTGCCATCGAGGGTACTGGGGTCAATAGCCACCTTGTCTTCGTCGTTGAGGATCCCGTAAAGGCCAAGAAGGCGGTCCACATCAAATGTGGAAACCTTTCTCACATTGTGCACGACCAGGGGCAGTATGTTAACATAGCCACGCTGATGGAGCGCCGTTTTCAGGCTCCAGCTCTCGATATGGTGCCACCAGCCTTTTGTGAGGACTAGCTCGGATTTCTCGTCGACAGCTTCGTGTTGGGCAAGCCCTTCAGGCCTGACAAGATGCCTTCTCCTAACGGCCCATTCGTACCACCTGACAACTGCATGAAGCTTATCGACGCGCAACTCCTGTCCGTCCAAAAGCACATGTTTCCTGGCCAGTAAGAGCTCCTGGTACGTCCAGATCCGGGTAAACCAGGCATTACGAACAGTCTCTGTAATTGAGGGTATCGCCAGCCACAGCTGTTTCTTCGCCTCATCGGTATCGTGAAGGCCGTGTTGGATGATTGTATCATGGATCTCGATTACTGGGTAGTTCCCCGAGGAAAGCAGAGACCACAAGTTTTAGTCGCTTGGATACAACAATGGAGGGCTCCTACGTCAAATACTTGGGTACTGGATGTCACTTCAAATCACTCTGACAGCGTTTTACGGTGGGTAGTGGCGAACGAGATTGAGCCACAGGTGTACGAGAAAATAGGCTCTGTAGCAGCAACGCGAACGATAGATGTCGCTGACGAACCTGTACGGGTTGCATTTGTGTGAAGGGATACATATTTATGCTCGAGAGGCTTGAGATGCGTCAGGCTCCCTTGTTGCTTATCTTCAGATGTGCTTACCCGTACAGCGCCACAAGGGCTGAGAACCAGTGCTTTTCGATAGAGTCGACGAACTTGTGTATTGAAGGCGGTCGCGGTAGGATTAGAACTTAATCAGAACAGCTTTTGTTGGAGATTTATCTCTACCTTAACATCGTACATCAAACTCGACCCTCAGTATTGTACAAAGCCTCACGTAATACTGTACATAGACGCAACCATGAAAAGGCGTAGGAAATCAGAACTTCACCTCCCCACCGCTCTGCGCCTTTTCTATTAAATCAAAGTGATCGTATAAGTTGTCGTCGGGGTAGCAAGCCTTGTACCAGGGGCTCTCCGAAGACAGCTCATTCACCAGTGTTTTACCAGTAGGTATAGACCACCCCATGTTGTCACCCCACAACCTCTTAAACTCAATCAGCTTGTCTTTCTGCCCAGTCTTAACTAGGTACGTGTAAACTGAACGCCAAGCGCTGTTGAGGGCTCCGACAACCCAGCTACAGACATTTAACTTTCTGTAGATATTTGCGGGGAATAAGACTCACCCGTGTTGAGGACTAATAGCCTCACTACTAAAGTAGAGGTGATCATCCGCTGCTGGGCAGATCAATGCGGGGTATGTATGGCTGAAATTCCCCGGATAGAACATTGCGAATGCGCCTATAATAAGTGCGACTGCATGAGTAACGAGCACTACGAATGATGCTGAGCTTACCCATTGCGTCGGGGTTGTGGCTCCAATCCATGACGTGCAAGCCCCTGAACTGTTCTCGAAGGTATTCGTACGTTATGTGTTTTCCATCGACGCTGTGAAGCTCTGCTAAATTTCTCAACACGAGGTCTTCTAGCGCTTCCCGGTTCTTGTATTCATCCCCACAAGAAAGCGAGCTGAGTCTGTGTGCATCGCTTGACCGCGAATAGGAAGCTATAATAACAGGGGACGGCGTTTCTGAATCGGTGCCGTAGGATGGATAGACAACGTTTCGAATAGGTAAATCAGTGAAGGACTGGCCACCGAAGATACCGAGTTCTGTGTACCACCACGGCTGCTTAAACCAGATGGCTACTTTTACGGCGGGTCCGTATTGCAGCTGGCGCAGAGCGGTGTGCTGAAGGACATTTAACTTTAGGTCCCTGAAGTTGTAGTCGATCGTGCGAAGGACTGGGAGCGGAAGGGTGGAGAAGACGTGCGTGTAGGTATGGGCCTCAGAGCGAAGCTCGCCCAGCTTGTCCGGGTCCTCAGCTGTGGTAGACACCTCGATGCCGCGGATCGAGCCCGAAGTCGACGGGTCTGAGCTTGCTTTCGACGACTTACGAGATACTTGCGGTTTTATAGCTGTCACCCTTTCCTTGAAGCGGATGCGCCCATATCTCCGTTGTTGAAGATAATTCTTAATGTACAGCGCCAGTGTCTCTGATCCTCCACTAGAAAGAATAACGACAGTTATAAGCAAACGGAGACATAGGTCAAACAGTAGACTCACTCAAAACACACCCAATCAACATTAGAACCCCCGCGTGCAAATGCCATATCGCCCAAAACGCCCTCTGTAAACCCTGCATCCCAGGAGGAAGTCGACCCTTGCAGCATTTCGAAGTAATCGATGACGTTCGTAGGGAGATGGTTAGGAACGAGGTTGAGACACACACTCGGAAGATACCTGAACGACATATACCCGCGCATCGAGTATCTGTCATTAGCCATCAGCTCCTGCCACCCTGGACCGTTATCTTTGGCGTGGATAATATCCTGCCAGAGAAGTCGAGTGAACGGCTTAACGACGTCGTCTTTAACTTTCTGGGCTCCGGCAGTGCTATACTCCTCGGCGATAGCCAAATCCTTCGAGCAAAAATCTGGATTGGAGTCACTGGTACGTGCATATGTTCCGTTGTAGTAAAGGATGCCGGGTTTTGAATCAGGACGGGGACTGAAGTAATATGGGATCAGCTGTGACTTGAGCGGAGGATGAAGGCAATCGTCGTGGTTGGCAGGCGCATACTCGATGAGCTTGGCTAGGCGCCGATTGACACCGTTCTTATAGCATCCATTGACATCCTTCTGCGGCAGAGGGAAGCGCATTGCTCCAGCGTCCTGGAAAGGGGTAATACGTTAGATGGTCGCGAGGAGTCACAGATAGCCGGACTCCGTGCACTTACATAGTAGGCGTACGGTTCATCCCGGGAAAAGTGGTGCGTGAGCAACCTTCCTCCAACTCTATCGGAAGCTTCAATTATCTCGTAGTTTGTGATGTCCAAGGAGTCGAGAATAAGAGCGACGTAGAGACCACCAATACCGGCACCGAGAATACCGATACGATGACCGGAGGGATCTTCATCTTCTGAAGGTATGCTTGGCTCTGTCTCAGGATCAGTGCCCGGTGGAAGTTTGGATCTGAGCGACGAGTCAAAGTCCCGAAGGACATTTCGACCGTAGAACCCGTAGACATCACAGTCGGGTACAGAATGAGGAGGTGAACGAGGGTGTGGGGGTTGTGTGTCCATAAGATGTGATGGGGTGAAATGTGTGGTGAAACAACCTGGTTGTGTCACCAGTGGCATATGAAGGATTTATACCCTTGAACAGTGGCTGGCGGCTGGCCTTGCCGCCCCACAGACCAACCCCAGGAATCTAACTATTGTGAGCTAGTGACGTTCACCGCAGCATAGGTGCAGCTCATGATGGAAGGAGTACGATTGATAGTTAGGTTACGTCGAGTACGTTCCACCATCATGTAGATTGTTCCCGATAGATTTCTGGTATTAATTGAGCATGTTTCAAGATACTGATCTGGGGGATGCGAAGCGATAAATCAGATCAAAGAGCTACCAATTATGCCGAGTATGTACGGGCTCTCTCTGGAGCCGGGGACATGGTTCTTTCATTAATGGCTGAGACAATTGAGCAATCTAGGTGGCGGGTCATCGGTATTTGCAGCATACTGAATGCAAACCAACGAGAGAATGGGAGCGTATCAATTGCGCACGGCGATGATCGAGTATGAAAAACACCTACCGTAGGAGTCGCTCATGCATGACCACAAGTATAGTTTAGACGTTAAGAGATTGTCGCCGGTCGACACGATGAGTCTACGCTGATCCTGAGCAGAAACATATCACCCTACCGCCAAGCGCGGAGCTCCGCAATCACAAGGCCGGTTGTGACAGGTACCAAATCCTCTAAGCGCCCATTAATTCATTACGCAGGGCGCTAATGCTTATCGGGGCGTTAATCGCTAAGAGCGCCGGGAAAACAATCACTTTGCACCCTCGAACGTGCATTGCGAAAGCAATGATGACCTGGGTTTGGTTTATTCTCGAAGGTTGGAGACTGCATACGTGAAACAACGTCCGCAAAGGAGGGGTCATCTGTTTGACGCTTTGATTATACCACGCAATGAGGAAGGTTTGACACAAGATCGAGCAGAGGTGCCCCATGCGACAAAAGGCCTAGCTCTGTTCTTAAACTTAAGTTCAACCAGATTTTGCTACGCCGTAACAGTCTCTCAGGCTTTCTACAGGTGATGGTGAGTCCGCAGCGCTTCTACTAAGTGTCTTTGAACTTACATCGAAGTGCGGCGATGCCTGAATTAGGAACGTAAGGTCCAAGTGAAGGATGAATGGAAGAGACGTGCGTCATTCTCCAAAAAATATGGGCGTATCTAGCGCAAAGCTAGTACATTAGCATCCAGTGCGGCTGAGCTGGGGAGCGCTGGCCAGCTGCTATCTTAGCTATCCCACGAGGTAGCGAACGCTTCCAGTAATCAACGATGTTTGACTTGAATGTTTACCATTACTTGACCATTACTAACCTTCGCTCCTCGCTTTTTTCATCCACAGAATCAACACCGCGAGAAAGAGTGAATCTGAATTGAAGTTCAACTCTAGCTTGTGAGCTAGGATCAGTGTGGCCTAAGAGCACATGGGCCATCTGCCTCACCTCTCGATCCATCTACCCGTACGCGTGAAGATATCGATTCAAGCCATGCATACAACCTTGTTGTAACGGGAGTTCAGGCAGAACCGGCTGTGAGATCCCAAGGCGAGAAATTGAAGAGTCATAGGTAAGTCTAAGGTGCTGAAGTTGTGGCCGTCAGTTCTGCTATGTGATGTCAAGGATGGACAAAGGATGGACGTGGAACGGAGTATACAGGCGTCCCGACACCCATCGACTCATCCAGCCTTCCCACGGTCCGGGACCTGCGAGCTCAGTGCGGGGAGGGTCGGCTGGCGTGTGCTTATATTTATCCCTTTTGTAAAGCTACGGCTTGATACTTGTCCACTCATGTACACGAACACTTCCTCCACACCGCGACGACCATGTCTGCGATGGAGTCGAGCCCGTTTTTGCCTCTCCTAGGCACGGTCATCAATGTCAGTGTCCAAGCTCCCACTGCATCCTCCGATAAGACACCACTAAGCACGCAGCACTCTCCACATCCATGATTAGTCCATCCTCCAAGTAGTTGTTGTATGCTTCTCGGGGTACGTCGCTGCCCGTCAGGGTGTCATAGACAAGAACCTTCAGCGGGTACGTCCCTTCTCTCTCTTTGTCGCCGTCGTTTTGATCAAGATGAACGTTTGATAACCCTTATCTTGCGCTCCCGTCTCCTGATATCCGTCCTTCGCTACAGTCGCTCAACAAGCTCAACGTCTCCCTCTTTACACCTGCTCTACTCTTCTCGAAAGTTGCCTTCACCCTCACCCCAGGTTCGTCCCATTCTGCGCACCATGGCTCTATCCGTTTCGTGACGAGTCATCGTAGAGAAGCTTCGTGAACTATGGATCATACCGCTTTTCTTCGTCATCGTGATCAGCTTGTCATGGGTTGCAGCTACCGTCCTCGGAAAGATGTTTCGGCTGAAGCGGTCTCAAAGGTGTGTGTCATATCCCCAATAAATCACGACTATTCCTCATATTTCGCCTCTCAGAAACTTTGCCAAAGTGGCAAGCATGTTCCAGAACTCCAACTCTCTCCCAATTGCTCTGATGCAGAGCCTTGTCACCACCGTCGCGGAGCTCCGCTGGGACCCGGATGACGAGCCGGGTGCGATGCTTGGTCGCGCGCTGACCTATCTCGCGACGTTCAGCACTTTGGGGATGATCGTACGTAGCCTGTCGTTTCACTGCATTTCCTTGTTTGATTTACACCTCATGCAGCTTCGCTGGAGCTGGGGTGTAAGCCTCTTGACTGTGCCCGACGCGCCGAAGGACATACAAATCAACGTCATCATCGATGGGTCCGCAGCGCATGACGACTCTCTGAACCAGAGCGACCGCTCGTCGGTCGTGGACTCCGCTTCAGAGTCCACAGTCTCACCATACACCTTTGCCACCGCCGACGCATCGTCTCAGCAGGCTCGCCCCAGCGCACCGTCCCTGGGTCTCGACGGCGCACAACCCGTCTCACTGCCATCGCGGGCCTCTCTCCCGAAACGCGCGTGGGACATGTTCAACAGCGTGATGACGCCCCCTCTTTGGGCGATCCTCCTCTCGATCATTGTCGTCTGCGTTCCGCCGCTGCGGCAGTTCCTCGACGTCCATCTCCCGCCCGTCAAGGGTGCACTAGCAGCTGCGGGCGGATGCTCGATCCCGTTGACGATGGTCGTTCTTGGGGCGTACTTCTGCAACTCTGTGGAAGAGGGTCCTAATGCGAGCATCACAAGGGCTCGGGCCCCCGCGGCAAAGGACGGCCAAGACAGAGGCAGCGCCAGGGGACAGACGGCTACAGAAGGTGCGACGGACGAGGGAGAGCAGGAGAGCACACGCTCGATCTCGACGGTGCATACCGTTCCGAGCACGACGTCCGTATTTGGCATGTTTCAGGACGCCTTCCGTATGCGTCGCACAGGCAAGTCTTCTGGCGGGCGGGTGCGCCTGGACGGGGACGACGAAGCCGGGCTGCCCGTGTCTGCTTCGGAGGTCGGCGCAGCGACATCGTCATCGTCGCAACACGAAACCGAACGGGAACAACAGCAGAAAGTTAATACCGCCGAGGACCAGGAGGACAAGGCCAGCGAGGGACGCACGGTGCTCGTCGCCGTGCTCGCGCGGATGGTGCTCGTGCCCCTCGTGCTCGTGCCCCTGTTCGCGCTGAGCGTGCGGTGGACTGCGCACGACGCATTCGAAGAGTGCGTCTTCACCATATCCTGCTCCCTCCCGACGTGCTGCTCTACTAACACCGTACGAAACACACCGCAGCCCGGTGTTCATCGTATCGATGATCCTGCTCATCGCGAGTCCGCCGGCCGTAACGCTTGCGCAGGTGCGTCTTGTTCTAGTACCCGGCCCGCGTGCATCAGCACCACTCACTGGAGTGAAATCATGCAGCTGACGCAAGCCGCGTCGAGTACTGCGGCTGACGTCTTCGAACGGCTCGTCAGCCGAACGATCTTTTGGAGTTACTGCATCATGACGCCGCCGAGCACGGTTATCGTCGTTCTTATCGGGCTTGCGATTGCCGGGCGAGTTTAACATTCTGCATCATGAAGATGATAGGAGTGATGGGAGGCAAAGTCTTTGTATCGGTAGTCTCTGTACCTCTATAAACGCCATAGATATCCTTGTACGTCGAGAATTAACTAACAGCATTGGATCCGGATGTAGCTCCAACCGGGTGCTTCCATAGCAACAGCTTACAGAGGGCTTCCCTCTTGATAGATCTTTCACAGCGATCGATGTGGTCAACATATGTTCGAATCCACTTTCCTGATCCCCATAGTAATTTACAGCAAGCATCCAATTCTAAAGCCTGCAAAACCCATGTCTACGTACACGGTCTACCCAAGTAGAAAAAAGAACAGACAGACAAAGACATAAGCGAATAAAATAAGAAAGTGTTGTCACGAGAGCGTCAGAAGGAAATGCACACAGAACCGGGATGAATGTGTATGTATGTACAAAGAGAGACAGAGAGACAGAGAGACAGAGAGAGAAAAGACGATCGCCTATGAGCCATCCGAGATTTGAGAGTCCCAAGAAACCGCATGTGTGCTGATGAAACGCAAGGGAATATGGGGAAAAGGAAGGAAGGGAGCAGACAGAAAGAAAGAAAGAAAGAAAGTAAGAAAGAAGAGAAGGATGATAACCCGTTATTTATTCATGACCCCCCAGACAACCTCCAGGATCCCAGGCTCTTTCGCGCCCACGTCCGCGCCCGGCCCAGCGTGCGCCGCCTGTCTGGTCAAGAGATGAGACGATGGGACGTCAAAGACGCAGGTCGAAAGCCGAGAGGTCAAGGGCGAAAAACGAAAGGACACATGGCGAAGAGTGGTGGAAAGCAAAAGCAAAACAAGGGGGGCAACCGAAGAAGACGAAAAAAGGAGCACGTCAGGGCACCGCGCGACGCACAAAACACACGACGGAGCACCAAGCGCGAACCACTCACAGGCTGCTCTTCTGCTCCTTCTTGTCCGTCTCCTCAGCGACCTTGGCCAGCGCAGCAGGCACCCTGCTCTCCGGCACCGGCGTCGTCAGCACATCGACCTCGCCATCGACACCCCCTTCCACATCCTCCCCGCCCTCAACGCCTCCAGGCGGCGTCTGCGCGCGGCTGGGCGTCTCCCCGACGAGGAACAGCATGTGCTCGACGACCTCCTCCGGCGTCGTCACGTGCCAGCTCGCGAGCGTGCGCTTGGACGAGTGCCCGACGGCGGTGGTGAACACGGCCTCGCGCGCGACGGAGAGCTCGACGGTCGTGTCCGGCTCCTCGTCGTCCTCGTCGTGCGGCGGCGGCGGCGGCTCGATGAGCGTGACGCTGAGCGGCGCCTCCATCGTCGCTTTCTCGCCTGGCTCCAGGCCCGGCGGGAAGAGGTGCAGCGCGCGGAACATGTCTTCGTCCGTCTACATCCCGCCAACAAACACTCACGTCAACCCAAAACCCCAACCAACCAACCAACAAAAAAAAAAGGTCATGAAAAAGCGCACCTTATCATCCCCCGCACAAAAAATAAACTCCGCATCCGGATTCTTATACAATATCCTCTTCACGATCTCCCCCTTGTTCACCGCCAGCGGCCTCACCTCGAGGTTCTTCTTGCCCACGAGCACCTCGATCGGCCGCTTGTGCGCGAGATTGTTCTCGAGCAGGTCCTGGCACTGCCGGCACTGGAACTGGCCCCACTCGGGGTCCGCGGCGCGGTAGTGCCACGTGATGGACGACTTCTTCATCTCGATGTGCGACCCTGTCGTGCGCTGTGCGTGCCGTGTTCCGCATGTTAGCTAACCCTTGGCCCAGAAAATCGACGGGGAGGAGGAGGGAGCAATGGGAGCAAAGCGCACCTCGGTATAATACCTAAAAATCTCCGCAACCTCCTCCATCCAGCTCATATCGAGGCTCTCCGTAAAGTTCACCCACTGGCGCGCGCCGGGCTCGCGGATAAACCCGCCGTGCTCCGCGCTCATGCCCAGCCGCTCAAAGTGCCCGAGATGCTGCTCGAGGAACTCCTGGTCGCGCCCGGACACGATGTACACGATGTTGCGCTCGTCGGCCGAGAGCCTTGCGAGCGCGGTCAGCGCGTCCTCCGAGGGGACGGCCATCGAGGGCGTCTTCACGATGGGCGTCAGTGTGCCCTATACCCACCATCCAGCGTCCGTCAGCACCATTCAAAGGAAAAGAGAGAACAGGAGAGGAAAGACACACATCGTAATCAAACAAGAACAGCCGCTTCCGCGCGCGCGCATAGTGCGCCTCGAGATGCTCCTTGGGCACAAACGGCGTCATCCTGGCTGTATTCTGCCCGCTCGTGCGCGCGAGCAGCATTTTAGCCAGCAGCGCAGCCCATGTGTGCGACGTGTGCGTCGTCACGACGCGGTGCAGCGCCGCGTGGCGTGCCTCCTTCTCCGCGGCGTCCATCAGCAACCCGCGGTTCATCGCCGCTGCCACGCCCTATATGCACGTACACAAAACGCAAAACAAAAACATGGGGTGAGCCTGGATCGTTCGAAACGCGGAGGGAGACGACGCACGTCGATGTCCCACGGGTTCACCTGCAGCGCCTCGGCCATGTGCTGCGATATACCCATAAACTCAGACAACACGAGCGGCGAGCGCTTCGTGCGCTGCTGCGCGATCACAAACTCCATCGACGTCGTGTTCATCCCGTCCCGCAGCGGCGTGATCACACCGAGATCAGCGACAGACAGGAGCGCGTAGAACTCGTCCTTCTTCAGCGTCTGGTGGCTGTATCGCCGCATTTAGCGCTCATTTCTAACACATTGCTATTGCTAGCCAATGGGGGGAAAGGGGAGAGAAAGGACGCACTAGTGGTGCACGGGTATAAAGTCCAAGCTCCCGTACTCGCCGTTGATGTGCGCGACCATCTCGGACACCTGCCGCTCGAGCTTCGGCGAGTCCGTCAGCGCGGGCGACGTCACCTGGATGAGCACGACCTTGCCGAGCCACTCGGGGTAGTCCTGCAGCAGCTTCTCGAACGCGCGGAGCTGGCGACGGGGCTTGGATGAGCTTGGCGGCCCAAAGGACGAGAAGGAGAGGAAATGCAAACCTTCTGAAGCACGCCCTTGACAACGTCCAGCTTATCCCGCCCGACAATGATCTTCTTGTCCGCGTACAGCGCACGCAGTGCCTCGAGCTTCGGCAGAACACCAGGGCGCAGGCTAAATAACTTCAGCCACAATCCGAACCAGGACCAACGCAAACCAACTCACGTATCCCTCGCCACCCGCTCAGCGTCCACCCCGACCGCACAGTGACTCACGAGCGCCACATGCCCCTGCACATCGATCCCCACCTCCCTATTCGACCCCATCATCCTCCCAGCACGCCGCGCCGGACTCGCAGCCGCGCTCCTCCCCGCACCGACACTCGCCAACGACGTGTTCGTATCGCTCCTACGCATCCCAGGCCTCGGCGAATGCCCGCCGCCGCCATGGCTCTGCACACTGATCTGCGACCCGCCGGCGCCAGGGCCAGAGCCGAGCGTGAGCGTGTTGCCCGTGATAACGGGCGACGAGATGCGCGACCGCGAGCCCTCGGGGGAGTGCCGGCGCGAGCGCGCGGAGGCGGAGGATGGGCCCTGTGTGACGGCTGTCTCGTACCCGCAGACGCGCACGCATGTGCTGATGAAGTGCCGTGAGTAGGCGTAGGTCTGGAAGCAGACGAGATTGGCGCCAAGCATGCCGTCGAGGATCTCGCGGCGGCCTGATGTCGTTTCATTGTTTGGTTAGAATTTAGTAGGTGGGATGTAAGGGGATGGGGTGACGTACGGGGAAGACAGCGGAAGATCTCCGAGCTGGGGAACGGGGTGTGCACGAAGAGGCCGATCAGGCTGCGGTTGTGTTTGATGAACACGCAATAGGAATTCAAGAGATAAGGAAACATACGCATCAGGCTTCGCCTCACGGATCATCTTGGGGACGAGCAGGAGATGGTAGTCGTGGACCCAGACAAGGTCACCTGGGCGGAGCACCTCTGCGAGGCGATCGGCGAAGACTTGATTAGCCTAAAATGAAAGAAGTCATTAAGAGATAAGGACGCGGAAAGATAAGAAAGCGTTACCTGCTCGTAAGCGCTCCAGTATTGATCCGCACTAGCGTACTCGGTCGCGACATCCTGCCAGAGCAGGTAGTGGAACAGCGGCCAAAGAGCTGTTGCGAACACGCACAATCAGGATCCGCCCAAAACGTGGAAGAAAGCGAAACACGCGGTGATGGATGTGACTCACTTTGTTTCGAGTACCCGTCGTAGTGGCCGTGCGCGACCTTGTCGTCGAGCCAGAGAGGCACATACGTGAGCTTATGCACGGCCCTGCCGTCCTCGCTGCCCTCGCGGCGCTCCTCCTCTGCAGCGTGCGCGGTGAGAGCGTCCTCGAGCGCGCGCCGCTCGTCGGGGGTGACGGAGGCGCTGGACACCTGTTTGGGGGCGTCGTCGTCATCGTAGTCTGGGCTCGCGGGTGCACCGTCTCCAGGTGCGCGCGGCGCGTCCTGGGATGAAGAGGAGGAGGGGGAAGAGGGTGAGGCGAGGGCGATGTCGCCGGTCCAGCCGACGATGAGCTGCTCGTGCGTCGCGCCGAGGGAGCGGATCCCCGAGAACATGGCAGCGTGGCCGTATCTGGGCGCGAGCTTCCATGTCGCGCCGCCCTCCAAGGTCGTCTGGGACGGTGCGGGCGGGGGAACGTCGGCGGAGGGGCTTGGAGGGACGTCAGGGTGGGAAGTGGGTGGGGTGGGGGGAGGCGAGAGGACGCCTTGCTCTTCTGGGTTGGTGGACTGGCGGCGGAGAGAGGGGACGAGTGGGAGATAGTGGCAGACGTGGACGATGCGGCCTGAGAGGGGCTGACCACGGGCTGTGTGCTGCTGCTCGAGCATGCGAACATGCTCGCGGACCTTGGGGAGGGGGAGGCCCTCTGCTGCAGACGGGTAGGGCTCGGTGAAGGTATCCATGGGGGGAGGAGAGTAGGGAGAGCCGTGAATTTATCTTGTTTATGAGTGTCGCAATATCAAGATCGCCTACAAATGTCGAATCAGGAAAGACGCCAACATCCCGCCCCTCCAAAAGATAACTGACCCGGCCCGATGTATGATTGCGGACTCTATAGCTCTGATGGGCCACAGACCGCGCTTTTCCGCTCCCCTTCGTCCATTTCGTCACTCCTTCGCACATCGATCCCCTCACGAACATCCACCAACAAACGTGTCACGCCGTCCTCCACTACAAATTCGCGTCCTATATACCAGCTTCTCCCCGTCAACAACCGGCCGCAGCATTACTGTCCCGGATAAACCCAGGCCTGGATCTTCTAGCAGGCTTCTGAACCATTCAAGGCCAAGCACAACCGAGCTGACCCCCTTGATGACACAGCTCCTCTTCGTCCTCACGTTCATCTCCGTTCCGACTAGTCTTCGCTATCGCCCGCTCTTGCCCTAGCATGCCCTGACTTAACCTCGCAAAAGAGCCCAAGCCATAACATTCACACGGTCCGAAGGTATGGGAGGGCACGCATATGGCTCACGGAGACGGAGCATAGCCCACCCCGGGGTCTGGCCCCTGGCTAATTCCAGCGGACTCCATCACGACAGCTATCCCCCGTTCCGCTCTTAGCTGGCGGTTAGGCTACCGAGCGCACCGAACCTTGCCGCTTTCGAATCAATGCGAACGCACGCTTCTAGGTCCCGTGTTCAGCTTTGCCAGCGTTCCAATCAACGGATGCATGCGTCGACGTCGCCCTCGCAGGCTGCGTATCCACCCTTGTCTTCCGTTTGCCTATCGCCACACCGCGTCAATTACACATCTTGATCATACATATCCCTGCCAACTGGACTAGTAATGCTCACTAGCTTTTGCCTAAAGGTCTCACGATTAGTACTACCACTTAGTTGTGGCGTTATCTAAGTCTCTAAGGCTTCTTCGGCGCCATTTCAGTATTGCCTCAGGGCAGGTTAATGCTTACCTGTTCTCTTCGCCACTGAAGACTACAGCGATGCTCACATCCACCAGAATATAAGCTGTCGTTGTTGTCCTCTATGTGCCCAGCCCTGAAGGAGAGTCGATTTCAGGCCCCGGGTGAGTGCCGTTGTGCTGTTGCTTGGAAGCACCTTCGTGCAGGGAGACACCCCGTACCGCAAACGTAAATCGTCCTGACAAAAGACTCTCTACAGCGCTCAGCGGCCTACTCTCAAGCCAGTTCCCCCGGTCTGAGTCAGACTGCACGCATCCGAACCAAAGTGGCAGATTTGAAGGACACTGGCCGCGAGAGTTTCACAGCCGCTGCAGCGTGGGAATATAAACCCCCTACAGTCTATGCCAAGCGCTCGTCCTCCGACTCCGAGTGTCGCAATCCCCCCCGACATGCTGAACTGTACACCTTACTCATCCTACTCAAAGCCACCACGTCGCAGCTGTGGCGGTGGGATTCCTGGGAACATTAGGCTCTATGACTCGATTTTTTTCTCACGTCAGTGTGCAGGCGTCAGAGCTTGTGGCTTTGCATTTTCCGATTACACTCTTGGTAAGCTGCGTGCACATAATTTGAAACGCAGGAGGCGCTCATGGACAACCGACAGCTTGTCTTTCGCAAGTTGCACTGGTGATTAACGATGTCGATAGACCGAACGAGCCGGAAATCCGTGTTGACCTACGACTAGGGATCCTGAAATGAACTGTTAGTAGTTGTACGAGGTATAAAACTCTGACACTCCCAACAATCGAGTGGCAGATAAATCCCGCTACCGCTCTCAAACCCCCCGAGCTCGAATACCCATGCCACCCATCACCGGCACCCCCCAGCAGCAGCAACAGCAGCAAAAAGCATTCATGCTGCCCTCCAGACGCGGCGAATTTATCGTCGGCACCAGACCCGTCCCCACGCCCGGCCGCGGCGAGCTCCTCATCAGAGTCGAAGCCGCCGCGCTGAACCCTATCGACTGGAAGATCCAGGCCGAGACCGAGGGCGAGATCACCACGGAGTACCCCGTCGTTCTCGGGCTGGGCACCGCGGGTGTCGTTGTGGAGGTCGGCGATGGTGTCGCCGGGTTTGATGTTGGAGACAATGTGTATGTCGTGTGCGGATTTCTGGGTGGCTGCGTGATGGTGATTAATAGGGCTCTTTGATGTTATAGAGTGACACCTGGGATTCTTGCGAGGAACGATTATTGTAGTCTCCAGCAGTACACGCTTGGTGTCGCTGTTTATACTTCAAAGGTTGGTGCTTAAAGCTCCTTTTCTCGATATTGTTTCTCGGAGAGTTAAATAACTGGTTGTTGCGCTAGATCCCTCCGAACATCACTTTCGACCAGGCTGCCTCGATCCCGGTCGGACTCGATCCCCCAGCCATCGGCTTCTTCGGGCCCCACAACGCCAAGTTGACCTCACCCATCGACAAGCCGGGCACGTACCAAGGACAGTCCGTCGTCATCCTTGGCGGCTCTGGCTCCGTCGGCTTCTACGGTACACATCCACCGTATAAACACGTACTCATCGCTCACCCCACCCCACACCAGCCATCCAACTCGCCCGCCTCGCCGGCTTCAGCACAATCATCACCACCGCCTCCCCGCGGCACACCGCCCTCCTCAAATCCATCGGCGCAACACACGTCGTTGACCGCCGCCTCCCCCGCGCCTCGATCGTGCGCCTCATCCACGAAGTCCACGAAGAAGTCCACCGCGAGGCCGGCGCGCCGCCCGCCTTGAAGCTGCTGTACGACGCCGTCTCCGAGCCCGCGACGCTCGCGCTCGGGCGGGAGATCCTCGCGCCCGCCGGTGGCGGCGGACACATGCTCGTCGTCCTCCCCTCGGCGGTGCCCGTGCCTGTGCCCGGGACGGAGGAGACGGGCGCGGGCGCGTGCACGGTCGGGTTCTCGTTCGGCTCGCCGCATACGCCTGAGCACGCCGAGTTTGGCAAGGTGTATTGGGCGAAGGTGTATGAGTGGTTCAGGGGCGGGACGATCGTGGTGCGTCTAGTAGTTGTCCATTTTAGTGAATATTTACACGATGGCTAACGCGTGTTCGGCGTAGCCCAACAAGGTTGAAGTGCTTCCGGGAGGGCTTCATGGTGTCGCTGGAGGGCTGGAGCGCTTGAGAGCGGGCAAAGTCAGTGGGTACAAGTTGGTGGTACGTCCCCAGGAGACAGTGTAAAGCATCACAAGATGTAAAGTTGCGCGCGTGCTCCCGAGTTGGTCTGCAGAATCACTTCTTGTAGTAAAAGGCTTGACCGAAGAAATGCATCTGTTCAGTTCAAATACTTAAAATCCATAAGAGCATGTGCGGACATTTTTATGAAAGGACATTCAGCTCACGCTGACAGGCGAGGGATTTGTACAGTATTCTACATATAACTTACAGAGCGAGGTCAATACATTACTGTTATACGCTCGGCGATGCAAAGTCCGACGTCCAACCCTCAGTCTAAAGTAACATAAATAGGCTCGTCCGCAACGTTGATCAACTGCGTAGTCTCGGCCGTCCCAATCTTGCTGAAAACCTGTGGCGAAACCTCGTTCGCAATGACCCACCGCGTGACATGCTCCACCGCGCCAGACGTAACATCCATCACATAGCACCCCGCCCCCGGGCTCTTACTATGGTGCACCCACGCGATCGTCACAACGCCCCTCTCCCCGCCCGCAGGCTGCACAACCACCACACGGTGGTTCCACGTCGAGATCCCGCCCGAGCCCATCCCGCCATACGTAACGAGCTGCATCAGCCCAGCCGCGCTGAACACGTACAGACACTCCTCCATCGTCGGCTGCCCGAACGCCGCGCGCATCGCATCCTGCAGCTTCGCAACGTCCCCCGCCGACGCCTGCGCGAGCTCAGGCGCGCGGCCCAGCGCGTCCGTGAGCTGGCGCACCGCGGGCGCCGTGTCGTGCCCCATCCGCCCGAACGCGTAGATGTACATGACGCAGCCCGCCATCTCGCCGCCGCCTGCGCCGATGGCCTTGCTGGTGTGTGTGATGCGCCCGACGAAGCGCACGGCGAGGTCGAGGCCTGTGGGGGAGATGAAGACGGGGTAGGTGTTGTGCGGTGGGTGAGAGGAGGAGAGGGTCTCGAGGTGCAGGCCCGAGTCCATGCCGTACCAGTGCCCCGATGTCGTCACGACGGGCATCCAGTTGCGCCCAGGCCGGTCGGCGTCGGTCATCACGTCGTTGAGGAGTGGCCACATCCTGCCAGCCTTGATGGCCTTGTCGATGACCTGCCGCCAGAGGAAGCGCAGTGCCTTCGTCTCCTGCACGCCGCCACCTGGTGTCGAGGAAGACGAGCCCTGAGTGAGCGAGGCGGGGTCGATGTCGACCTTGTCCTCCTCCGCGAGCATCCCGTACAGTCCAAAGATGCGGTCGATAGCGTGAGTGGAGAGCTTCTCTGAGTTATACACCACCAGCATAAGAATGTTCGCATGTCCCCTCTCCCTTATCTCGCGCTTCATCTGCCACCCCTTGTCGTGGCCCTCCCAGTTATGATACACGACGAGTTCGTCGTCGGGCTTCACAAAATCGTATTCGGGGCACCCCTCAGGACGGCGCAGCTGTTTCCGGCGGAGGACCCAGAGATAAAAGCGTACGATTGCGGAGAGCCTGTCAACGTGTAGCTCCTGTCCATCGAGGAGAACGTGTCGCTCGCCGAGCATCAGCTCCTGGTACGTCCATACGCGCTCAAACCACGCATTCGTCACCACCTCGCTGATAAGCGGGATGCCCTCCCACAGCGTGCGTATATCCGCCTCGCTCTTCGCCCCCGGTCGTTGGATGATGCTCTCGTCAATGTCCATAAGCTTCCGGTGTGCCTCCGCAAACCGCTCCCAGTCGGTGGGAACGACGAGGCACGCGAACGCGTTGCTGTAGTAGAAGCTCATGTTCGGGATCTCGCGCGCCTTCTCGAGTTTTGCCTCTTCGTTGTCGCTCTGGTCGATGCAGAGGATGTCCATCCATAACCAGCGCACGTTATTCTCCTTGCAGAACCCGACGATTGCTTCCCACTTGTCCCGATTTGAGATGGGCACAGGCCAGCTGACGCTCGGGAAGGAAAGGTGCTCCCGGATCTCGCCCCACACCTGGGAGACGACGACGTAGTGCGGGACCTTGCCGTCTCCGGATTCGCGAATGTAAGCTTCTTGGTCTTTCACGTCCTCGTGTAGGCAGTCCCAGAGGCGGAGTGGGTAGGTTGACCTGGGCGCTCGATATTGGTTATCTTGCTACGGCGATGGGCAATGGTGTAGACGTACCTATCCGTGCCACCCTCTTCATAACTCCCTCTTCTCCGGGGATCTGCAACGAACGTGTCCTCCAGGGACCCGCTAAACGACCCGTTCGTGGGACTCATCACAGTGGGGCTTGTCAACAACATTCTGGAGGGTATGTTCTGGAGGGTATGAACGAGAGGTTGAAGTATCAGTTCAGGATGCGGGCGCGGGGAACAACGAGATATAGAACATGGGAGGTGATGGTGACGAGAGTGCCCATATATGATCTGTTCAAGTGAGTCGACGGCGTCTAAGAACCTGGTTTAGGTCAGGCGTAGGCAACGCGAGTGCCAAGAAGAAGAAAAGCTTCCGCGCCCATGATCAACTTTCCCTCTCCCTCTTGACTCAGCAATCTACACGCAAGAGGCAGCGCATTTGGTGACGTCTTTACGCAAGAGGCACAGCATCCAGGAAGATCGCGAGGCTGTATCAACGCCGATCAAGGCGTCTCGCGCCAGGAACCTGGAGAGGCTGTTACTTCGCCCGAGCGTGGAGTCGCGCCCTGACAAAAGTGTCGTTGAAGGCAATGGCAAAAGAAAGAAAGTGCCTGGAGTAGCACTGTAGTGTGGAGATTGGCTGGAGGCGGTGGACGTCGTCATGTCATCGCATGGAGGTAGATATAGTTGAGTTCCCACGATCTGCGGACGCCGCCTCCGACTCGCTCCTACACTAGGTCGTCCATGGCCTTTGTTATTAGAAACACCGTTATATCTATCATTCGAGGTAATGCTGGAATATCCTTGATGTTATCGTCTATGCTGGTTAAGTAAGAAGTGCTCTGAATCTTAACTCTTTAGCCCTCATCCACTCCACCGCACTGGCGGCGACAGACCCTACTTTCTTGTAGACTCTTGGCCGATCCTCATAGTATTCCGCAATCATCCACCGCTTCGCTTCCTGGAGGGCCCCGCTCGTAACATCTAGAACCACGCACCTTGCTGGAAGCGACAGGCGACGATCCAACCACGCAATGACGATGAGCGGTCTTGCCTTGGGATTGTCGTTGGTCGAGGCGTTGACGATGATCGCTCGGTGGTTGCCCGACATAATGCCTCCAGGCAGGCTGCCGCCCGCGCGAACCAACTCACTTAAGCCGCTGTCCTTGAACGCTTCGACGCACGCATCAATCGATGGTAAGTTCAGCGCACGCTTCACCGTCTCGTCGCACTCTCGGAATGAGAGAGCCCTGTTGCTCCATTTCAAACCGTCCATAGCAGCCAAGACCAGCTGATGTTCAGCAGGCCGACGGTCAAACCCTCTCCGACCAAGGTCCCAGATAGCAAAGATGGCATCCCCCAACGCGTTACCCCTATCATCAAAGTCTTTGCATCCCCGTAGTACCAGGCCAACCAATCTGACGTCCAGATACAAGCCCTCGGACGAAACAGAAATCGACCGAGTGTTGCGATGCGGCTGGGAAAAGACCTCAGCATGAAGACCTGAGATAATATCGTCTTTGCTGGCCAGAGGAGACGGTATCCAGCTTCTTCCAACCAACGCTCCGCGAGGATGCTCGAAATCGTTCAAGAGCGGTGAAAAATCTCCCCGAACAAAAGCCTTTCCCATCATCTTGCAGCAAACGTCAAGCAGAAACTTCTGGTCTTCAATGGGTCCCTTTCGCGGCGCCAAAATCATGTCCACTTCGATGGGAATCTTGTCGTCGTCCCTAAGCAAGCCGTAGAGAGCAAAAAGGCGGTCCACCCTGTACATGTAGCCCTTTCCAGCAGTATGCGCGAGAAGCTTCAGAGCGTTGATATAACCGTTCGCGCGCAGCTCGTCACGCAGGCTCCACTGTCCATCCAGCTCTTTCAGAGTCTTTATCAGCTTCTCTGTATCAATTTCTTGGCTCCCCGACGGTAGCTCGCACGCCCCAGCCTCAAAGAAGCGTATGTACCACCTCGTCATGTCTTGCAGGAGACTCAGATTGAGCACCGTCTTGTCTAGCAGATAGCGCCGCGTAGAGAGGAGCAACTCCTGAAAGGTCCACATCCTGTGGAAGTAGTCGTCGCCAGCAAGAACCGCCAGATGCTCAGCACCTTTCCACAGCGCACGAGCTGGCTTGTGGATAGGCACCCTAGGTATAATGGTATCCTGATAGATCTTGAGCAACGCACGGTAATTCGTCGAGAAGCCGTCTCCGCCCTGAGGGAGAACGAGACACCCCTCCGCAATCCGGTAGTATTCACCCATGTTCTGCATTTCACGCGCCTTTGAGATCGCCGCGTTCTTGCGGACTTCTGGGTCGTCGTCGTCCGTGCGCTGGTCGACACACAGCGCGTCCATCCAGAGCCACCGCACGTGCTTCTCGCGACAGAAGCCGAGAATACTGTCCCACTTGCTAACAGGCCACATCGGAACTCCCCATTCGGCACCCGGAATCTGGATGGTGGTCTCTTCGTGTTCAGGGAGACCCAGTGAGACTGCTGTGCCCCAGACGTGAGACACGATCCAGAACGGCGGGAATGGCGAGAACTCTGATCCAGACTTCTTCAGATAGTCGTACCACTCTGGCATGAAGTCGGTCATATCCTTGACCAAGTCCTCCTCGACATCGTAGAGCATCCAGGGACGCTTCGAGCTACGGATTCCACTGGTAAGCGAAGGTCTAGTTTGCACAGACTTGTGAAATTGGCTCACAGGATATGCGATTCGTCGTACGCCTGGACCGAAACTCGAATAGCATCTATGGTCGTTGACTCTTTGCGCAACAGAGACGAAGCCATGGTAAAGAGGCAAGTAGCAAGTTTCGTTGCGGGGAAGTTGGGCAGCAAAGAGAACCGAAGGAAGGTGTGCAATCCTTTTATATCAATCATAAAATTTTACGTTTTGTGACACGCGCTTAATATCGCCTTGACAGGTCCGCATTGACCCTATCTAGACCTTCCGCAGGGACGCCCAAGGCTATCACATTCCCGGAGCGTTGGCGATAGTGACAGGTGGAAACACCACATGCTATCGGCCTTCATTCAATGAAACCCGGGACTTTTAATCTCTCCCATGAGTCTCGCTCAAAACTGTTCACGCAACGATTCCAGTTTTTAACGGAATAACAAGGATCCATTGACATGACACAGCACCAATGGCTCACGTTCGTAATATAGCATAAGGTAGCAATTTCTAAGGAACTATTTGAATGCCTACGAATACTGAATATTCACCCGCTTGCTCGAGACACTCCACGTTACCGCACAAGCCGCTACGGACCCGATCTTCTGGACCATCCCCGACCTCACCTCGTTTGCAACCACCCACCGTTTCACGTTCTCGATCGGCTCGGTCGTGACATCAAAAACAGATGCCCCCTTCACCTCCTCGTATGGATTGATCCATGCAATCGCCACGAAGGCCTGCGAGTATTCTTCACCCTCTGGCTGGATGACAATGACACGGTGGTTGCCTGAGGTAATGCCGCCGGACGCCTTCCCGCCGCGGAAAATGCGGTCGACCATCACTTTAGAAGTCAAATGCATGTTACAAACTTCCGCAGAACACTCTGTAAACGCGGCATTGATAACGTGCTCGCATTCGAAATTGACGAGGAAAGGCCGTCCCTGCGCATCCGGGTCGTCCTTGGCCGCTAGCACGAGCTGCCTCACAGCGGGCCCACAATCGAATCCCCACGTAGAGCACTCGTAGATCTTGGACACCATGCGCAACACGTCGTTCGAGGTGTTCATTCCTTGAAAGTCGTCAGATGCGTCCACCACCGTACCCACCAGACGAACATCCAGGTTTACGCCAGGGCCCACGTGAAAGATACCTCCGGAGTTGATATTTACAGTTGAGAACGTCTCAAGGTGAAGCCCGGAGTGAGGTTTATCGCCGAAATTAAGCGGAGGATCAATAAAGTCGTTCAAAAGCGGCCACATATCGCCAGAAACGACCGCCTTCTTGAGAATACTCCTCCAGATGTCGCGGGAGATTTTCGAGTCGGCACCTTGGAAGACCAACGGCAGAACCATCGCGCGTGGATCGATACGCACTTTCTCGACGTCCTTGAGCAGACCAAACAACGAGAAGAGGAGGTCAATATGATATTTGGATTCCCTGCGCGCGGTGTAGGTAAGAAGCTTGAGAATGTTGACGTGACCATTCACGCGTAGATCGTCTCGGATGCTCCATTGCATGCCAAGGTCTTCCACATACGCTTTCGCTGTTTCAATTTCTTGCCTATTGAATTTCCCCGGCCTAAACTGCGCAAGCGAATCCAAGCGTCCAGGATACCACTTCACGAGGAGATGCAGTTTATCGAGGTCCAGTTCTGTCCCGTCGGTAAAGAAGCACTGCTTAGACAGTACCAACGCCTGAAAAGTCCAAGCCTGCCAAAAGTACGAGTCCGCAAGGGCGCCGACAAGGAGCTTCGCGCCATCCCAGAGTTTGTCAGCTCGGGTTGCAAGGTCCGGCTCGTGCATAGTGATCATGTCATATATGACCTCGAGAGAGCGGTACTTCTCCATGGTTTTGCGTCCAGCGGCCGGCACAACAATGCACGCCTTCGCATGCCGATAGTACGTGCCCATGTTCTCCATCTCGCGTGCTTTCTCGACCGCGGCGATCTCGCGCAGCTGGTCCGGGGCGTCGTCGGCGCACTGTCGAACGCACAGGACGTCCATCCAAAGCCATCGAACGTCCCTCTGCCTACAAAAATTTCGGATGGCATCCCACTTGTCGGGAGACGAGAACTGCACCTTCCAATCAGCCCCAGGAATGTCGAAGGACCTTGGGCCACTGGCGTTGTACTCGTAGAAAGCAGCTTGAGTGGGTTGATCCCAGACGTGCGAGACGATATGATACTCCGGGACGCCTTCACACTCGATTGTGTATTTCTTCATATGCTTCACTGAGTTGGTCGAGAAGTCGTACAAGCGAAGGGGGCATCCGGGACTGTGATTTTGTGTCAGGGATCACATCATAAGCCGCACAGTAAAGTCGTAGTTGCACTTACTAGTCAACATCCATGGCGGCCATAAGACTTCTTGCCTCGTCGAGACTAATTCTTGTAAAATGCCTGGCTGAAAGGTGGCTCAGAAGTTATAGCGAGGAGAGACAGAGGAGGGGGAGAGCCAAGTTGAACGAAGGTACGGAGTAGCCCGCGAATTTTTATTTCATGAAGGCTTTGACATTACTTCAACGGTGCCACATCTCCCCGCTTTCCCCGATGTCCGTAGACTGACCCTGATATGCAGCGCATAAGCAACCAGGGCTGTCAATGAACAATGACCGCGAATCCACTTGCCGCGTTGCATTGACGTGAGTGAGAACGATGTTAAAGAATTCGAACGATACTCAGTGGAACTGGTGTACTACCCTCCCGTGTCCCTAGGCTACGTCGTGCACCGAAGATCAGGGCCGCTTTGATGAATATCGATGGATCATTCCGCATTTTGGCATCGACACTTTAATTAAAAGCTCAGAGGCGAACAAAGAAAGGGCCGGTGGTCTAGGCACGAGACATAAGCACTGCGCTATGCGAAGGGGCCGGAAAAGGAGTGCTTGGCACGTTGACCTACACGTTTTCGCTTTGACAATGCTTCCAACTTCATTGTTTGCTCGTTTGTCACCGTCTCGCGTCGATTTCAACAAGTTACGGTCCGAGCGTGCCTAAAAATATTTCGAGCGCCTAAGCCTCGAGGCGCCTTCCTTTGCAAGAATGCGACCCTATGAAAACTTTCAATGAACGGATCGACCTTGATGACAGCTTGGTAGATAAACGCACCAGCAGGACGGACAATACAGTAGCGATGGACAAGGGAATCCAAGTCATCGCCACTCGTGACAAATGAAACGGGGAAAGCCGAAGCCAGCGCCACAACTTCAGCCAAACCTTGACCAAACATAAGAGTCACCAGTTGAACCATTGACATCATACCGTCTGATTGAAATCCCGCAGTAAAAGTAAAACCAGATCTCCATCTCCCCATTCACAAGAAAAGCAAGCACCACATAAGCAATGTACAAGTACAATAAGTAATTATATCTCTTGATCTTTTCGAATGAACTGAATCATAACAGAAAAATAAATCGCAAGAAAAGAAAAAAAGAGAACAATTTGCAGGACATCAAATGAAACCTCGGCTGTCTATTACGCCGTCATTTTTGTCGATCATCGAGAAAAGAGAAAGCACCATCGTGACTTCATAGCTTCATAGCAGCTTCAAGAACCAACCAGTGGCAAAGCACAGCCCGCGACCCGTAACTCACAGTTCGCAGCCCACACCTCACATATCCGCCTGCATCGGCGCGATCTGCCCGCCCTTGGCAGCAGTGGGCGTGAACGTGTGCCAGCGGTCGTTGAAGCGCACGTCGAGCGGCCGCCCGCCGTACATGTACGACTGGAACTTGGCGATCGCTGTCTCCGCCTCCGGCACCTGCGCAAACTGCACGACGCCGCAACCCTTGGAGCGCGTCCCGTCGAACAGAATCTCCGCGAGCTCGACCTGGCCCGTTGTCTCGAACAGCTCCACTAGGTCCTCGTTCGCTGTCGACCACGGCAGCTGTACATCACATCATCAGCATGGCGCGCAAGGACAGATCGACTAAGAAGGCAAACTTACGTTCCGCACCATAATTTGCTGGCTCGGCGCGAGATCGAACGCAGGTGCAGGCGGCCCACTGAATCCTCCCGCCGCAAACCCACCTCCACCTCCACCTCCGCCACCAGCGCCACCACCAGCGCCGGCACTGTACCCGTCCATGCGTGCACCTCCCGCGCCACCCTGGTCAGGGCCCGAGTAATCCGCATAAATGTCCGAGTTCGAGAAGTCACGCCCACCCGCGCCACCACCACCACCGCCTCCCCCGCCAAATCCACCGCGGAAACCACCACGAAGGCCGCCCCGGAAGCCTCCACGCAGGCCACGCCCGCCGCCGAGTCCGCCCCGGAGACCGCCGCCACGGAAGGCACCAGGGCCAGAAAGACCGGCGAAGCGATCCTGGAACTAGCGAATCAGTGAACATGGTTAGACCTGGGAGGGTGGTGCGGACGAACCTCTCGGACCTCGAGGATACGTCCGTACCAGTCAAAGCCGTTGTACATGCCTGTGCCAAATAAGTATGGACCAAGCCTACTCTTACATGAAAGAACGCACTGATAGCCTGGTTAGCATCCTTGGGTGTCTCAAACACGACCGTGCCCGAGCCCTTCGGCCGCCCATCCGCGCCAATGTTGATATCAGCACGGATAATGTTACCAGCGGTGCGGAAGAGATCCTTCAAGTCCTGCCAGCCAGCTTGGTAAGGCAGCTAGCGAACACGATGCGTCAGCCTTAAAGCAGGGTGCGCCACAAGAATACGCACGTTTCCAACGTAAAGCTGATTTCCGGGGTTGGCCGAGGTGCCGAAGTAATTGTGGTGAGGCGGACGAGGAGGCGGGGTTGCATTGAGACCCTGACCGGCCATCGCCATGCCAATCTTACCTGGCACAGGCGTAGCACCAAACCGAGACTCGTTCTCGCGATCCTGGTTTTAAGAAATGAGCATAGATGCGCATGAAAAAACGTGCACAAACCTCACGAATGAAGACAGGGCGTCCGAGTAAAGGTACCTCAGAAAGCTCTCTGATAGCTCGCTGAGCGTCTTCTTGAGAGGCGAACTCGACAATGCTACAAAGAAGAATCAGCCTGACGAAACCCAGCCTAACATGCAAGTGACGTACCCGCAGCCCTTGGAGACACCAGTCGGCGTGATGAGAACCTCGGCGAAGAGAACCTCTCCAGCTGCCAATCCCAAAACAAATTCCATCAATATCCTCGCAACTCAACCGCTCATCAACCGTAAACCAGGGAAAAATAAAGCGCCCCTCGTGCTTCTGCGCAACTTCTCATCACACTCCCCTTCTCCTCTTCGCGGATCGCGGACCGCCGCTGTGCGCGCCAGGGCCATTGAGAAAATCTCTTCGATGCCTCTCGACACCCGCCTCTCGCCCACATCATCATCATCGTCTTCCAAAGACCAATTCCAGAACCAAAACCAAAGCCAAAACCTCCCCGCGTCACGAGAAAAACAACTAATGCTCCAACAAATTGAATAATGGTCCCCCACCCACCTCCCCGCATAAATTCCATGAGGTCCCGGTAGCGCACGTCGTAGCTGAGATTGCCGACGTACACGCGGTTCTCGCGCTTGCTGATCTTGGCGAACTCGACGGCCTCCTCGTGGTCCGCGTTGATGGGGCCCCCAAGCGTGCGCGCGAATGAGTCGCCGCCAGTGCCGCCGCGGCCGTGGCTGCGCGAGCCCGAGCGGGAGCGGCTGCGAGGCGAGCGAGAGCGCGTACGCGAGCGGCGGTAACGCCTGTCCCTGACACGAGGGGCGGGCGAGGGGCGTCTGGGCGAGCGGGAGCGCGACCGGGTGTGAGAACGCCTACGACGCTGGATAGGGGGCAGAGCATGGTGAGCGTCGATGCGGTAGCACGTGGAGACGACAAAGGGATACGTACGTCACCGTTGCGGCGCTCTTCGGGCTCCCAGTGGTCCGAGCGTCTGCTGCGTCCTACAATGATACCGTTAGGAAGCTGTCTCTCATATAGAATAGAAAAGAAACGCACCACCACGATCGCGTTCGCGGTCCCTGTCGCGGTCCCGCCGGTCGCGGTCACGGTCATGGTCCTTGGGTCTCTCCCTGTCTCTGTCTCTGTCACGCCCCGCGTCTCTATCGCGTTCTCTGTCTCGCTCTCTATCGCGCCCGTCGCGGTCTCTCTCGCGGTCCCCACCGCGGTCGTCCCTGTCTCTCTCGCCGCGACCGGTAGAGACCTTGTCCTCGACATCCTCTTTCACCTTCATATCCACGTCCATTGTGATGCAGATTCAGTCAGTAAACGCAGTTGGGGAGAAAAGGAGGGGGCTGAGGGAAGGAGGAGGAACGTTGCAGAAGACGTCCAAGACGCCCTAATGCTAATTTTCGGCCTGCCATCGAGGCGCCTTGTCGGCATCTCAATCGGAGTTTCTGCAAGGACGTAATAACGCACAGCCACTGGTCAGCGATTCAACAAGTACTTCAGCTGCACATTGCAGCGTAACAGTTGTAGCTTTCTTCAACTCGGAGTCCATGAGAGTCCAATCCCTTACACTCGCAGTTGAGCGCCTGTCAATCCAATTTCCGTCGTGTCTCACAGGAATACTTTCAGAATTCGTACGCTCTTGATGGGGATTGCTGAGCAGCTATCAGTGTTATGACGCCAAAGCAGCAAGTTGACGCGGCGTGACCTGCAACATCTAGTCTAACTAAGGCGCCAAGCCTGTGTGGGTTTGGAAGGCCAAGAAGGTGACAGTGGTGACATCAAAACTTCACGCTTCTCACGACGAGCACAGATCGGTCGTTCTAACCAAAAGCGAGAAGAGATCCAGAGTCCATGCTAGTAGGGAAAAGCACAATGTAGTAACGCAGATGATACTGCGTTACCTAGACGGCCGTAACTTCAAATGATCTTCGCGTGATATGTAATCAACCGACTAAACCGAAGGATAAGTGTCCGGTAAACGCGTTACGCGTGATTTTAAACCAAGACCTTAGGTCGGTATGGCATCAGTGCTGTAGAGGACATTGAAGATGTTTGTTGGTACCTTCCATCGCAGAGTTTCGCAATCTCCGAAGGAACAGAACGGTAGTCGCCAGTGACCAAGTACTCACACGAAGAAGGCCCAGGGTTGACAGTATGGTTGTCGAGTTCCGAGTCGTTCATTTATTAACAAGCTGCTACTACGAAACCATCCATCATACACAAAGCAGGGGGTATCCCATCTTAAATACAAAGTACCTTAGAGTAAGTCAGTCAATACGCAACTCCTCAGGCCTCAGCCATCCATCCTCCTCTCCAACTCTATCTCAAAAACCGCACCGCATAAAGTCCCTGTTCTGCTCACGCTAGATCCACCACCCCAATCGTCCTTGGTGTATACATGCAACCAGGCCGATACGCAGGATCAAGCAGGATGCGCACTGACGTTCTCCTTATCCGACGGCACGCGCTCGTCCGCCCGCGCCACGACCACGACAGCGGTGACAACCGCCGAGATCGCGAGCATGAGCGAGCTCGCCGAGAGCACCGCGTACCGCGCCGAGGACACACCCGTGAGGAGCGACACGACGACGAAGATGTTGAGCGGGACGCGGAACAGCGCCGAGAGCTAAAACGCAAAACCCATTTCGTCAGCCCAATCGGCCCATAGTGTGGAGGGGGAAGGGCAGCTCACTGTCGCACGATGTTCATTCGAAATCAACGTCCCCCTCAACATCCCCTGCACAGGATAATACATCCCCACACACGCCTCGAACGCACAAAACGCCCAGAACCGCGTGCGCTCCTCGTTCCAGCGCACGCTCACCGCTAGCGTGAGACTCGCGAGCGCGCACACCAGGCTGCTCAGCTTCGCGTGCAGCGTCAGCGACGAGTCGCCCGGCGCCTGCGGCGTCGGCGGGGGCAGGTACGACGTGACGGCGGTGTAGAGGAGCGAGCCGAGCATCATGCTGATCATGAAGCTCGAGAAGATGTATCCGAGCGGGAGAGAGACGGTCGGGAAGTGCGGCGAGGACTCCTGCAGCGCGGGTACCCAGAGGAAGACGAAGAGGTACATCGAGCCTTCGAAGCAGGTCTGCGTCAGCCCGATGGCGAGCAGAATCGGGTCTGGACGCGGCAAGGCACATCAGATGTGTAGCTCATCACGATTAAGACAATACACAACGTACCGCTGCGAACAATCCCCCACGCCTGCCCGAGCCTCTTCAGCTGAAACGGATCGCTCCCCTGTGCACCCCCCTGGCCCGCCCCAAAGTTCTCCGCCCAGCTCCTCCTAATCGCGCCATACGCAAGCACAAGCATCACCCCGCTCGCGACGAACGGCGCCGTATACCTCCCCGTCATGCCCACCAGCTTGTTGCTCACGACGCCCGCGCCCGTCGCGACGAACCCGTTCACGAGCGTCGCGCGCCCAAAGAGCGTGGACAGGTCCGCGGACGGGATCGCGAGCGCGCTCGAGGCGCTCACGAGCCACGACTCGAACGCGGAGTAGAGGATCGAGGTCGAGATGCCGCCCATGACGCGGCCGAACATGAGCACGGGCAGGAAGGGGATGGTGATGCATGCGCAGGTGAGCGCGTAGGTGGCGCAGAAGATGAGGCAGAGCTTTTTGCGTCCGCTATTGGGTGGGGTGAGCACCCTGGAGAGGGCGAAGGGACATTGGTGACTCACTGCTGATCTGCCCAGACGCCAACGAGGGGAGCGGTGAGGCCCGCGGAGAGGAAGCCCGTCACAAAGAGCACGGCGACAACACGCTCGTCGAAGCCGTACTGCTCCCTATATAACGAGTACACGTACGGCCCCTGCAGCCAGTCCGCGCCTGCAGCATACCCGATCGTCATTCAGCGCACATCCACGCCATAATGAAGATCAAGCAAACGCACCCATGACAATCGCGTACACCACTAGATACTGCCTCGTGAGCTTGGCGAGCGCACTGTACGGCGTCGTATTCCCCCCATTCTCAAGGCGCTCAGCGGGGTAGTTGTCCTTGCGCAGTTGCTGCTTCTTCCTGGACACGTACCGCTCGAAGAGCAGAAACGCGATGCACGAGATGACGAGCAGGATAAGCTGGAGCTCGTAGAAATCGGCCATCATAATATATCGGGTAGGGCCCTAATATGCGCTCTAAGACGGCAGGATGCGGGAAAGAGACAGGAGGAAGGAAGGGTCTGATGGAAGTTGCAAGGCCACGACGGGTGTGGTAGGGATCCGCAAGGCGAGGCAGCGGCGATGACGATGTCCTGAGAGTGCAGGAGGCAACGTGAGAGACGGGTGGTGCTATAATAACCGTTCCCTTTGAGGCGTTCCACGTCGAGGTCGAACGGTGCGTGCACCCGGAGACGAGTAAAGTCAAAGAGCTAAACGCAAATAGCGTTGGACCAGTAAGAAAGCGGTGAAGCAGATGAGACTAGGAAAGGAGAGAGGACTGCGTATCGTGGACCTGTTGAAGATCACGGGATGGCAGTGGTAAAAGGATGGGCGTTCAGAAAGAACAGTGAGGCATTCACACCGTCTGCGGAAACAAATGGGTGAAAAAGAGGTTGGGTGGAGATACGTTTCAGGCGGAAAGTTCCACTCATGCCAGTGCCCGTCTGTCAGAACATCCACTGGCATGGCCGAACGCGTATCATATCTTGGCGTTTCCCACCCCATCCGCAGTATCACGCTCTATGTTCGCGTCGCCATTGCGACCGGTGTACAACGTCTCTCCTCTCCACCGTGCTCGTCATTGTACTATGCACGGTGAACGTCTACGTCTTCTCCATAACCAGCAATGCCTCGATGCTGTTCTGCTGCATAACTGCGTGTTTAGAATGTAGCAACATCGTCTATCGCCCTGACCGCATCATAGACCTCACGAGTTCTCAGATCAAGCGCCCATGCCGTCCCCTATCAGATGATCCCGCCGATCCCTGAGCGCACTGTGTCCCTGACCATTCAACTCCATCCATGGGCGGCTATGACCACCTCTGCATCGTATGTGGCATCGCACCCAACAGCGGCACACCCATCGTGCACGACGGCGACGACATAGACGACCTCTGCGAAGACATCACGACCGCGATCGCACAACGCAACCCGGACATGTACACACAAGACATCCACGAGACGGTGTATGAGCTGCTCGAGCTCGTCGAGGGCGACGAGTGGAAGCCCGACGCGCTGCAGGGCTGGGAAGAGGGGTTCGGCACCGCGATCGCGATAGGCCACTTCGACACTGCTGACGGGCGGGCGAATCTCATCGATGACGCGTCTGGGGAGGGGGAGCAGCGGTTCCCGACGGGCAAGGGCGTACAGACGCGTCGGGTGACGCATCACACTGCTGGAGACTTCGAATATGTTCTTGAGATGCGCGCAGGGCCCAACGGAGAGACCGAGGAACGCCGAGAGCGAATCACATCACACACCAGCGCGCGCTTCCCGAACCCGAACTTCTTCGTCTCGGAGGCATGCTATCGGTACATAGAAGCTTGGATCAGCTGGGACGCTCTACCCGTGCAAAACCCCGATGTTCAACACACGCCATCGCTGGACATGGCTGGTGAGCTGTACGAGATCGTAAACTCGAGAACCAAGCAACGCGGTACGTCTTCGTCTCTCTTGCCTATTTACCAGTCTTTGACCCTTAGTTTCGCTCAAAAGACCGCCTCACCGGCGTCCTCCCCTACATCAGCTACAACGGTCTGGAACGGTCATGCGACCAATACCAGGACCGCTTCCCCGCCAGCTCGAACGCGTACAAGTGGATCGGATGCGGTATCGACGACGGCCTGCAGGGGTCATCCTTGATTCCGCACCTCATGGAAGACTTCTCTTGCTGGATGTTCATGCGCCCTGACTCGTGAGTATTCCGCGTCCGACGCCTTATAAACTCAAGCTCCGCCAATGCTGATACATGGCACCCCGCCCTCAGCTGGCCCACCCCCCCTCCAGACAACGCCCTCGACCTCCCATCATTCACCCCACTCGCCTCGGATGCACCCGTATCTCCACAGAACAACGCATTGACCCGTATCCCCAAAGAACTCCTCGACATGATCGCAGGCCGCCTCACCTTCCGCGCCTACTTCGCGCTCTCCGCCACATGCAAACCCTTCCGCCGCCGCATGTGCGACCCAAACGTGCTCGACCACGTCGCGCGGGAGATGCTGCTGCACGGGCCGCTCCAGTGGATCTTGCCCGTGTCAGCCGTCAAAGGCTCAGCGCAGGCCGCGCGGGCGGCTGCCGAGATGTGGATCGGCTTCGCACGAAGCGGCTCAGGGTCTGCGAGCCAGTCGTCGGCGGCGGCGCCGTTCTACGATGGGGACTTTCCGGCGTTTGCGTTTGTCGATGCCTGTTTCCGCTCGGACTCGATGAGGAACAGGCGCAGGATATACGGGCAGGTGAAGCAGTTCGAGGCGCTCTGGAGAGAGTTCCGTGTGAAAGGGTGGGCGGTGGATCGGTTTCATCGTTCAAGTTGACTGCTGCGACTGTTTTCACTTGTTCAATGCCAACGGTGTTGCCTACCTTGACGTTGAAGGTATATCTCAGCCTCGATGTCGTGCTTATATCATATTGCCTTCACAGTGGGTAGATTTTCCCGGCTTATATATCATAGCTCGTCACGAATAGACGATCAGTCCATGTCATCGGCGGCACTTACACTGCCTAATGGCAAGCAGAACTCCCCGTCCTCGATATTTTGGCTTCCTCGTCCGCGAGGACGGGCGCCTCTTCAACGATGCACTTAAACCCGTCCGAAGACCAGACATTGTCTTTCATAGACAACCCGACAGAAGCCGACCTGTTGCTATTTCCGAAGTGAAGCCAATAATCAAGTGGACGGAGAAGTCCGACTCACGTCCCGATATCGAGCGCGGAAACCAGAAGGTAGAAATCGCTATCTATCTCGAACATCACTTTAACAAGCACAGAAGCATATAATGGGGATAACTAGGCGTACAAACACTGCGTAATATAGCACAAACCGCTAACAGAGAAATATAAAGCAAAATCTTAAACACACATTCCGATTCCGCAAGGTATAATCAAGAAGATCCACCCTTAAGTCTCATCTCGGTGACATCTCCCGATCCCCCCACCCTGTATCACCGCCTCGCCAGCACATTCACAATCCACCCAACCGCATTCTGCACCCCGCCCTCCCGCCTCACCAGCGCAGCTAGCGCAACGCCCAGTATGATCACAATCGCGCCACCCGTCCACCCACGCCGCGCTGCCTAGTAGAATAAAGACGAAATAAAATAGATCATAAGAACAAAACGCATATAACACCGAGGATGAATCACTTTAGTCAGCAATGAGGACGGCGCGCGATGGATCTCAGAAGAGGGGGCGCTAAAGACGTACAGTGGACGAGGCCTTGCCGTGCGTGGCGGCGGAGATGCGGCCGTTGTTAGCCGGGCGCGCGGGGAGCTTGACGCCCAAGAGGGTTTCGAAGGTCGCTAGCTTCTTAGACTGCATGTCATGCGAAATGAGAGATATGAATAATATGGCGGTGTGCAAGAGAAGAAACGTACAGTGTACGGCGGGTAGCGAGCGCCCATGATCTTGTCGAGCCAGGACGGCGAGTCGAGCGACGCACGGAGGTGCGTGAACATGTCGAACGCGTATTTGCGCGTCTGGTATCCGTCTGCACGCGTGCATCAGTCACTATTCAAATACGAGGGGAAAATATAGGGTAATACGCACTCCCACTGGGGCCGATGCCACCGAACGGAAGACCGTCAGTGGCGCACTGGAGCAGAACTTCGTTCGCAACAGCGGAGCCACTCGTAGTGTTGTCGAAGACTAAACAGAGATTAATGTCAAGTGGTGACCATTAAGTCACAAACATGATGACGCAAACTCACCCTTGGCCTTGAAAGCCGCGTCCTGGGTGAAGACGTACAAGGCCAGCGGGTGATCGTGCTTATTGATGTACTCGAGAGCATCATCGACGTTGTCGACAGGTAGGATCGGCAGGACTGGCCCAAAGATTTCCCTAGATAACTCAAGTTAGCTTCCCGTCGCCTTACGGGAGTGGCTGCTGAGATTTGACGTACTCGCTCATGAGTGAGTCGTCTTCCTTGACGCCACGAACGATGGTGGGCGTGATGAGCTTGCCTGCCTCGTCCATCTCATCCAAACCACCAAGGACGACAGTGCCTTGGGTGTTCTCGACGAGGCCCTTGAGCCGGTTGAAGTGGCTGGGGGCGACGATGCGGCTCATCTCCTTGTATGACTTGTCCGGGAAGAACGACTTGTGACTGCATCGTATCGACGTCAGCCTTCCGACGCCTCGTTTACTCGACAGCGAGGGAAGAGAAAAACGCACGCTTCCTTCAACGCCTCGACAAACTTATCCTCCGCCCCGCGCTCAATAAGCACATAGTCCGGCGCAACACACGTCTGCCCCGCGTTCGCCACCTTGCCCCACAGAATCCGCTTCGCCGCCGTGCGCATATCGCACTTGGGGTCGATAACCGCGGGGCTCTTCCCGCCGAGCTCGAGCGAGACGGGCGAGAACGTCTTCGCACCTGCCATGTTCACGATCTTACCGACGCGCCCGGAGCCGGTATACAGGATATGGTCCCACGGCAGCTCGAGCAGCTTCGTCGTCTCGGGCACGGCGCCGAGGACGACGCGCACGACGTCCTGGTCGAGGTATTTGGGCACGAGCTCCGCCATGAGCTTCGTCACGTTCCACGAGAGCTCCGAGGGCTTGAGGACGGCGCAGTTGCCTGCTGCGAGTGCGCCGATCTATGCGCGGCGACGGGTGTTAATGCTGCGCGCGGATATGGAGCGGAGTACGCACGAGCGGGCCAAATGTGAGCCAGACGGGGTAGTTGAAGGGCGCGATGATGAGCACGACACCCTTGGGTTCCTTGCGAATGACGGGGCGTGTTGCCGCGAAGTTGAGCGAGAACGGCGCGCGCTCGGTGCGCGCCCATTTCTCCACGCGGTCAATGGCAATCTTGGTGTCGCTCAACGTCGGAAGCAGGTCCAGGCTACCGTCTCATTAGCAGACGTGCTCAAATAGGATGGCAGAACAGTTAAGGGACGCACAAGGAAGCCTCCATGGGGTGCCGCCCCAGGTCCGCCGCGAACGCCTCTTTGAAGCGCTCCATGTTGTCCTGCACGAGGTAGCCCAGCTGGGTGAGCTGGGTGCGCCGCGCCGCGATGGACTTCATCTTGCCGCTGCGGAACCCGGCGCGCAGGGCTGCATGCATCTACAGACGGTTGGATGTCTCAGTTTCCTCACTACATACTGGCAAGCGTCTCCAATTGCATCTACTGAGCAGCGACGCTCACCTGATCGATCTCCTCCAGCGAGGTATACTGCGCCTTCTGTTCGTCCGACATTGCGTTGAAAGTGGTGTGTGTGTGGTTGACTAATTTGTGTTGAGTACTGAGTAAAGTTGCTGATGAGGATGGCTCGTTAATGCACTATGCTCGCACGTTGTGGAAGGTTTTTATCCCTGAACGAAGTCGGCGTTCCTATTCTCAAACACTAGGTCAGCCGAGACGGCGCGGGGTATGCGTAGTATGTGGTGGTGCAAAGTAGCGGGGTGCAACGATTACCGGTCTTTCTTTGCGTTCTGGTTGGCTGTCCGGTCCGGCGCCAATGACGGCAATGATCTCGTCAGTCTTTTATCACGGGCATTCCCTTTGTGTATTTAAGCTCGGCCGCGTCACCAACGTCATGGCCGAACTGCTGGCACCGAGGTCGGTGTTGGGTCGGTGGCTGCGCCGGAGACCGAAGGGTAGCCTGGTACGCCATTGCAACCAAATGTATCAGATAGCATAGTAAATATAGATGAAACTACATTGTCGACTCAGGCGGATTGCTCTCAGAACAGATACATCTTGCATGTGTCGAGAAAAAACCACTCGGATATTATGTGATGAAATACATTGATTGATTGTTGTATGAAAAGTGATTGTAGCAATGCGGTATGTCGTGGTATAGTGATATACATATTATGCCAAAAGGTGCTGTGTCTTGTACAGTATGGGTTCTCTATGTCATGATGATGAAAACGAGAGGACGCGAACCATCCCTATCGTCCTTGAGTAGCGTCCTTGAGTCCAGACTACAGGCGATCAGAGAACGCGTCCAGGAGCAGGCACACGCCTCCATGTCGAGCGACCACTACGCTCATCATCCGACGAGCTGGTGCTTGCGCTACCATGGGAAGGCCTGCGCGACGAACGGTCTACGCCCTTGGAGCGCGGGCTAGACATCGGCGGGGCGTGGTGGGTATTATGGACGTCAGAGCTGCTGGGGCTGGGATGACGCGTGTGCCACTCTACGCTCTTCCTCTGTCTCCGGCTGAGCACCGCCGAGGGCGCAGCGTTGCGCATGGCCGTGAGGGTCTCGGCATCCAGTGCACCCTTGGTCAGGGGCGACTCCGCAAGCGCAAGGAGCTCAGAGAGAGTGTACACTGGGAAATCTATGGCGCTGAGTTAGCCACTGAAGTAGAAGCTATGTTGTGAAGTGGAACGTACTGTGTGCGGAGAAGGTGCTTGAAGTGGCGGACAGAGCAGGCGAAGGCGAGCGCGCGCCGTATGATTCGGAGTCAGACCCAGAGCAAGTCGAGTCAGAGCTACGCCCTCGGCGGTGGACCGGGACGTAGACGCCGGTAGAGCTAGCTTGGGAGGCGAACATCGCTACGAATATAGTTGTGGGTTGGTGACTCGAAGTGTTGTAAGGGGTTGGTGACGGAGAGCGATGAAGCTGCTCAGGAGGGTAGGCGACTCGAAGAGCGGAGGGCTGCGAAGGGTAGCTTGAGCTGCGGAGGCCGATGAGGACTGGAGGTGCTTGTTGGCTGGGGAGATACCACCATCATCCTGGGCCTCTTTATACAGGTGATCCAAGCGGACGGACAGACACGTATTGTGACATGACCGAGCGGCAGGAAAGCTGAGGAATGCACAGGCGGTGCGTGGCGGTCGCGTCATACTCACCCCGAAGGACAATGTACATTGCACAAGCACGCTCTAAATGGGAGGAGGCACAACGAGTGTCGTCGAGAATCGGCCGGAAACATGGAGAAGGTGACGGAACAATCCGCCTCCCTCGACAAAGCCTCCGAGGACACGTCCGAATATTCCTGAAATGGAAGCAGGTGCCGCGTATCGGCATGGATCGCTTATAGACATTTCCCACGACTGAGAGCCTGTGCTTTCTAAGCCGGTGCTGAAAAAGCGTGCTTGACTTGCATCGACGTCCGAAGCTGGTGACCGAGCACCCGCAGACACCTACAGCTTTGTCATCCACATGAATGTCAAAGCTCATGAAAAGCATCCTCGATGATTAACACTACAGGCAAAGCGCTTCATTCTCATGTCGAAAACCCACAAGAAAATGAACTGGAATGGAATCATTTTCTTGTAGATTTCCACAGGACAGAAAAGTTAACATTTTCTGAGACGCCGAGTGCCCTAAAATGGCAAGTTGGTGTCAGATTTCAGTCTCCGCACCGGCAGACTTTTTATAAATGGAAGGAGATCTGATTTCCGCCGCCTGAAAATCGGCCAGAACATGAAAACTATTTAACGTCTTTTCGACAAGGGAAAATATTGCTGGAAATGATTCCATTCCAGGTCATTTTCTTGTTGATTTTAGGCACTAGAATGAGGCGGTTTGCCTGTAGTGTAACTCCATGACATGTGTACCGGTTCGCGTGATAATCTCACCACGGGTCAATCCATAATCTCATCACAGGTAAGCTATCCCCTGTGTTTCGTGAGGTTACATGCTGCCTCCGATCCCTGCGATCACGGCCGAGTCGTCCGCCTCACCACTAATCCTCTGTTGCTCACGTTCCCGTCCGATGGTTAAGCGCCGGCGTGATGAGTTCTCATGTCCTCGGTTACTCCTTAGGGAGGTTGAGTATTGAGTCTGAAATAGCATATATGTTCTCCCGTACCCTGATCGTCCCGGCGCCGAAGAGCCCGTCGCACTCAGGCCCTACTAACTTATTCTTGCCCTCCCAACTTTATCAATGGTCGATACTCATCCGCGTCGTACTAGCATTCTTTTGACCTGCCCAAGGTACCTGCAATGGTGAGTGGTTGACTTTCGCCTTTGGAAGGCAGAGAAAAGCACAGTACTTGCCGCATCGCTGTTAAGGTTGATGTAGCACCGTCTTCACAGTATATGTTCCAAATTACTTTAATATCGACAATAATTCCCATTCCTACTGCATTGACTGCTCGCTATACAGATCAAGTTCGAGATCTACGATGCGACATGATCGATATCGGAGTCGTGAACATCGGATAGCGCTAATAGGTTAATTAGTGAGCCGGGCTTATAAGCCGAGGAGGCGTGCTCAAGCTTCCTTATGGCGTATTTCTCGGATAGCTTAATCTTGAATGGTCTTTGACCGTTGAGGTCGACCAAGGGCAAACGTCGGTCTCCTTGCCGAGATGTAGCGCTTAGCCACGGCAGGAGCGTGAGAAATCTACTCCAAGCTGGCCACTTTGTCTTCACGCGTCATGATGCAGATGTTGGACTAGCACCTTGACTAGCACTGCAACGCAGCAACGCAGACCCACCCACTCCTTATTGCCATGGAAGGCAAGATATGTGCTAACTGCGGCAAGGAGGGAAAGGTGATGCAGTGCTCCCAGTGTGGCATCACCTTCTACTGCTCTTCGGAATGTCAACGTGAGTTCATCTAGTTATCGCCCCCTATCACTAGGCCCGGCGCCCGACGCGCTCGTCCCGAAACCAACACCATCAACTTACAGGCGACCACTGGAAGACGCACAAACCCAACTGCCACCCCTTCGCCGGCGAGAACGTCGTCACCCTCAAACCAACCTACATGGGCGCCGGGATGCACGCCTCCACTATCTCGCCCACGACTCTGCAGCAGCGAACAGTCGCGAACACCAAAGACGCATCGCGCAAGGGCATCTTCATCAAGATCCAGGCGCCCGCCGCCCCGGCGACGGCGCCTCTGTACGTCTACAACAAGAAGCGGGACCTGCAGTGCTTCATCCATCGGGACAGCAATGAGGCTGGGTACGACGAGGTGGTGGAGACGATCCGCGCGCACGGCGTGATGGGCATGAAGGCGTACTTTTCGGCGTTTCTGAAGAACAAGAACGCGCTGGTGGTCAAGGTGTCTGAGGTGCTTGAGCCGCAGCCGTTCTAAACGCGTCGCGTCGCGGGATGTGTGGGACATGGGATGTCGGATGTTGATGGTTTCGATTATGTGCTCGTTGGGTAGAGCACCCTGGGTCATCATTGTTCGTCTGCGTAAACACTGATGTAACGACTCCGCTTTAGACATGGTGCCTCTATACCTTTGGCGACAGAACTATTCATCCCACCAATACGTCACCTTCGTCCTCAAGCTAGATATGACGGAATCAAGTACCCCTCGCACCTGAATCCAAAGCCATGAGCACTAGCGTAGCGTACTCGCTCCCTCTTACAGAAATATTATGAGATCATTAAGTTGTGATCTGTTTCAACGAAACTCAAGCCCGAGAACGAATTTAGAAACCTCGTCACATTGGTTTCAAAGCCTTGGAGCGTCGCAAGCGCTCACTGATCCTGGTTGTGTGGTAGCCATAGCTCCGATATCCCTCTGTAGGCAGATGCAAGTAGCTCCCTTTCCTGTTGCTAGAATTTTGGGCGTAGCCGAAGACGGGCCTGCTCTGTCGGAGAACGTCGTACTGACGGGTAGTGTTCTCGTAAATTTCAATGCAAAAGGTATACGAAACCGCACGTGAAGAAAAGTAGAGTTAATTGCATTAAGTCTGGCGCGCTCAGACGCTGAAGACCTCCTAGATTTTTAGGCCTCTCCTTCATCCTGTGTAAAACTCCCCTCGTTGTGTAGCCTAAAGGCACTGTAGATGAGATATTCCGTACTGAGCGCATTATTTTGAACCTTCGTAATTAATCCAAATGCTCAGAACATCCCTCTCACATCCTTACAGTCTTCTGTTCTCGGTCGAACGACGTGAATATAGACCCAGCGCACTTGCTTTTGGGGATAAAAAGGGCAGTCAGTGCTGAAGGAGTATTCGAAATTTTAGCAGCGTTTCATAGCGTCGATCGAAAACAGATAACTTGCTAATATCTTCTGAAACGATCGAAGGACATGTGCGCCATGGAGTGGAAGCACAACCCCTACGCAACGGATAAGCTCGACTTTCATTTGTGTTGATGGCTTCTTATACAGGTGCATTTCTTGTGGTCACATTTGCCATGCTTTATACGGTATTTTCAGTTATACATACCCAGCATTGATCTGCCCGGCTGCGTCTACATTATTAACGGGGCGATTAGCCCTTATCACGGGTGAGTCCTATCTCCGCAAATCCTGACGTGACATTGTGATTTTCTTTTTCTTTTTCTTGCTTTCTAGGTGGGCTGACTGGACCTTCTGGAGTACTTGCTTGGCGTGCGGTTTGGGTACGTATCTGCACAAGACTGATTAGCGCGAAAAGTTGGTTGTTGGAATTCTGTGTTCGTTACCGCTCGCATCATGACGTGTCATATTCTATCTTATTATATCCGAGTTTTCGTAGTATATATTCCTGTCGTAGATAGTTGAATTATTCACGCGATTGCCCTTCGGGCACCCTCCCCTCGCCCAGGACAAACGCGCTGTGCGTCGTCGCGAGCCCGTGCGACCTCGAATTTCTACATTGGTTTTCTTCAAAGAGCTGCGGGGTGACAACATGGAATTGTTTATGCCCAAAAGCGAAACAAATTTACCCTTCGAGAAATTGATATACAATGCATTCTACCCGGACGACAACTCGTACAAGCACCTCGATTTGATGTGAAACCCCTAGAAAGGCGACGAAGTGGAGTTCTGAGTTGGTACCTGGCCTTGTTGTGTGTCCGAGCGTGTGCACAGTATTACGTGAAACTTTGTACACTACTGAGAGTTGAGTTTCGTATGATACCATAGTACATAGATATAACTCATCAGCAATTTTACTCCGATCTTACGGCCCCCATCCGGTTTTATTGGATTTCTTAGTCCTGGTCACTCAGACGCTGTAGGGCCAGTGATCAGCAGCAAAAGTGCCTCAAATGTCCCAGACCCTCGATTCTAGACACGGCAGTACAACTAGGCATCATTGTATAATAAATCGGCCGGGACCGACGTGTTATCATAAACATTCAAATAATACACACACATTCGGTAGAAAACCAAATAGTGAGAAGTATTTTGAATAAAGTACGATCACAGCTGCTATACACCAATTCGGACGACGATTGATAACTTGATGGCTTTCCAAGTGGGTTGCCGTGATGTTCCGCTCGGAGGCGGATCAGATTTACGTTCGGTGTTGTAAATTCTGGCGAATAAATCTACATATATATGGGCTCTCCGGCAATTACCGACGTCAACAGGTTTTGGCTTATGCTCCACATTCGTTCCTTGCACACGATTAGCTCGAGATTCTTTCCACCACCGTCTCTCTTCTCCTCCACCTTCCGAAAATAAGCACATAAAACATGTCAAAAGTTTCGCCGGTAACAAGTGGAATGGTCCAAGGTCTATGGAGAAGCGCCCAGTGTACGGGAGCGGACTTCCAAAGAGCCCCATCAACTCTCTGCCTCTCTCCGCCTTGCCCATGCAGAACCCTGTCTTTTGGCGCTGACCAGAATCTTCCAGCAGACAGTAATCAATCGTCTAGATATAGGTAACCCCAGCCTTCTCGGTCTCATAACAACTTGCCTCTCGAATCCCACTGAACCTTACTGGACGCTGCTGAGGCGGTGCTGTGTTCTCGTGGACACATGTCCTATCGCTCATGATAGGCACCTCTCGTCGTGCGTTGATCCAAATTGATCCTGACAGTCTTGGCAGGCGTCTATCCTAACCTCCGCCCGAGCAATGGCTCTCTGAAATATCGGCGATTGTTTTGCAACGTGAGATGCGTCGTCACCGTTCAGCACTCACTTCACGCGCTGAGGTGCGCTGGCTCAAGTAGACAGGTTCCACCCACATGGCGAAGCCGCTCGTGCAGACCCGGAAAGTACGGGGAACAGACTCCGGGTGTCCTGCCGTAATTCGGCCTCTGTTACCTCGAGGAAGACGCTGTCAAGGTTTCAACACGGTTCCGAGGGCGGCCCAAACACCCCGTCCCGAAGGTCTTTGGTGGGAGAGTGGGATACCGGGGCGTTGATGATTACAGCCATCGCTCTCTTAAAGTCCCATCGGGGCCGCGTCCCCGTCAGATTTTTAGACGGCTCCCTTTCCCTCTTCCGTTAATACCCTTTCTCCCTTGGCCATGTCGTCGTTCTCGGATCGGCCCCGCTCAAATGCTTATGACGCACGGTATCGCTCGGTAATGGGGAGCCCGTTGCAAAGCGCTTATGACTTCGACCCCAGTTCACTCACCTCACGGCTTAGCAGTCCACCAAACTCGCGGCCCTCGTCACAAGCCTTACGTGGTGTTTGTATATTGACCCTTTCGTCACCGCCCGAAATCACTCATTTGCCTTGATTAGCACTTCCCTCTTCCTGCTGACCCTAAACTATGGGGGTCAAACACATCTCCTGATCACCCTGATCCAGACGACTGGCTACACGAACCCGATCCCAAGAAAGATCGCAACCTCAACAGCACTGGGCACATCTTTACTTTCAGGGGCATATCAAATCTTGGATGTCTTCTTGTTCTCATACTATGCATCCTCGGCCTTTTGTATGTTATCGACCTTTCTCCCCCGCCAGTGTACACCTCTAACCTTGCTCATCCGTCTCGACTCCAGCGCTGGCTACCCCATCGCATCTGCACTTACCTCGCATCCGCGATCCAACAATGGCGGATCCAACATCGGCGGTATCAACGCCAGCGGTCAGGTACGCATTCTTCAGCTCTTTTATACGTTCAAGTTATACATCTGGATATACAGGTACCCAAGATGTTCGGGGACTTTGCCCTGATCGATGCAGACACGCCCTCGAGCGCTTACACCTACAAATCCTTCAATGACGGGAGCGAGTGGCAGCTTGTCTTCAGTGATGAGTTCGAGCAGGACGGGCGGACATTCTGGCCGGGGGACGATCCGTTTTGGGAGGCGACGAACCTTCATAATTGGCAGGTGAGCGCTACGTTATGTCCGCTAGCGCTAGCGGCTTATCGGCCCGACTTCGCAGACCGGCGATCTTGAGTGGTACCATCCTTCAGCCGTCGCTACAAACAACGGTGCAATGGAGATTACGTTCAGTGAGAAGGAGATCAACAACCTGGATTACATGAGCGCCTCGGTGTCGACGTGGAATAAGTTCTGCTTCACGGGCGGACTGATCCTTGCCTCTGTCACACTCCCGGGGTCAAGTTCTGTGAGCGGTCAGTACAGCTTTGTGTCAGTTGCTGTGCCGTCAGCCAATTTACTAAGTCTGGCTGCGCAGGTATGTGGCCCGCCATCTGGACGATGGGTAACTTAGGTCGAGTGGGATATGGTGCTACGCTTGATGGCATGGTAAGCACATGCACCACGATGGCGTGCGAGGGAACTAACATCGCTCAAACCATTTCAACCTATCGCAGTGGCCATACGTGTACGACTCCTGTGACATCGGCACTGTCGCGGCTCAAACGCACAACGGTGGCCCTGCAGCCGCAGTCCATAATGGAGATTCGGGCGCGCTGTCTACTCTCCCCGGACAGCGGCTCTCACGTTGCACGTGTCCAGGGGAAAGCCACCCGGGGCCCAAGCACAGCGACGGCACGTTCGTCGGACGATCAGCGCCCGAAATCGATATCTTTGAGGGTCAGGTGAACGGCGGTTCTCACTCCGGTGCTGTGTCTCAATCGGCGCAGTGGGCGGTGCGCATGCTACGATTGTGATTGTGCAACAACGTTGACGAGTTCTGCTATAGCCCATGAATGCGGAGTATGAGTGGGACAAGACGGGCAACTATCATTTCGCTGATACTTCAATCACGGCGTGGAACCCATACCAAGGCGGTACTTATCAACAGCCGACGTCGGCCGTCACGAATTCTAGTAAGCGTCGATGCTGTAAGGCCCATACATTGGTCAAGGAGGCTCATATTGATTTGCAGATTATTCGTGTTATGATCAAGAGAGCGGGTGCTTCGCGACGTACGGCTATGAGTACAAACCAGGTTCGTCGTCTTCCCGAACGACGGGAGCGCAGAGCTGATCTGTATATTTTGTTCTTGATCAGGTTACAAGAACGACAGCGCTGTGCGTAGCTGCTAATGACTGTGTCCTTTGTCACCTAACGTACTCTAGTACATCACCTGGATCAACAATGGCGTGGAGGCTTGGACATTTGAAGCTGGCGGCATGGCAGCGGATCCGGAAACCGAGGTTAACGATAGGCCTATCTCTGAAGAACCTATGGTGAGCATTTATCTGCAGCCGTCCTTCCATGAAACTGTTATATATATCCTCTACTTGAGTCTAACACTACTCTACAGTACATCATCGCGAATGTCGCGATGGCCACGGGTTTTTCGTTCGTGGACACTGCAAACCTTGTGTTCCCCACGAAAATGCGAATCGATTGGGTACGAGTTTACCAGCCCAAGGACGCCGTCAACGTCGGATGTGATCCAAAGGAGTATCCCACCTCGGCGTACATCCAACAGTACGTTCTACATCTGCAATTCATCCCTGCTAGATGCTCATGTCACGTCGTTATCCAGGTACGCAGAAGCCTACAACAACCCCAACCTTACTACATGGGTCAAAGATTACAAGCAGACCATACCCAAGAACTCGTTCCTTGGAGAGTGTTGATGGCCGTGATCGTTCCTCAAAGAAGGACGCTGATCTGTATCTTTTTATGACATTATTACGGTATAGATGACGGACTATTACAAGTACTATGATACTTTAGGGATACGTTATACCACTTACGCGTAATGAATTTCCCCGGAGGACGATTTCGATGCCAGGGCGACTCAAAGGTGCTACTGTTTCAGAATCACACATGAGCCCGTTACGGAGTACGCCAGCCCTTGATAGTTGTTTCATTCTCCGATCTAGACGGCGATTATTGGCCGGAGATAGTCAAAACACTCGCTTATCAGCATTTCTGGCGTTTTTCACCTTGATCCGTCACGGAATAATGGCCTGACGGACCGAATTGATGTGCATTCGTTCGCCGCGAGGCAGCCTGCTGTAACACAGCTCGCGGGCCTGGTTATCAGGTAGAACATGCTAATATTATTGTGGTATGGAACGCTAACGTGCTGTAAGTTGTGAACAGCAAGGCTACCCGGCTAAATGAATAGCTTTCCGGTTCCATAGGTCTTCCGCCAAGAATATAAGGGGTCGTGCTCATGACGTTGAGTGGCACTAGATAAAACACGACGCAGTCATCCGTGAGTGTACTCACGTTTGTCTCACCTAGTACAAGAGATTCAACGACCTTGGTTGACCGTGACCGGAGGATTATCCAACAGGCACTCTCTGACAGTCGCTTCACATCTTCTGACTTTCGAGGAGCACGAAATCCGCGGCTCGCGGGAACGAAACTTCGGCACGCAATTACGTGTCGGTCAACTCATCGTTGAACAGCACCGGTGTAGGCTAGCAAGATGAAGGTCAAAAATTACTGATGCACGGGAGATACGCTCAATGTTCCGGGCTTGCTTGGACAATACCCATGGTAAGATATAAGAAGAGGGAGTACAATCTTCGTGCTGAACAAGGACACAAGAAACCCACAACATTACACAAAGATTCTCCACGAAGAAGCTGTAGCTCAATATGTCGTCACACACGAACTACTCCTGGGCTTCCTCCGGCTCTGGCTCCGGCTCTGGCTCTGGTGGCCAGGGCAATGGTCAAGGCTACGTGGACGATCGGGAGCGAAAGAGGCAAATTCAGGCGGCATACCGTGACGAAGAAAGGAGGTTGATTGACAGGCTCCAGGTCTTGACGGGAGGAACAGGTGACAAGCGCGCCAACATTCTGGCGAGATGTAAGTCGGCCAGAGCATCGCAACTACCCTGAGACCTAATGGTGCATTTTGTTTTCCAGCCGTGGATAAACTAGAGTATCTCCATAATCAGGTCGACGAGCTGTCTAGGTCCAATGCAGAGCTCAGATTGAGCTTGAGACAGCTGCAGGAGCAGAGCCGTGGCCTCCAGGCGCTCATGGAGCAGCAGGGTTATTTCCTCCACTAATTACTTGAACTCGGATCCTGTGCGAGGGGGAAGTGCTACGGGAGTTCGTTGCCTACTATTTCGTTCTTCACGTCAGTGTAAGCGCCAGAGTTGTAATTAGCACCTACGGCATGTAGCTACTTCGCACCAGGAAATCAGATACAGTGATTGCTTCAGAGACAGAGGAACGAGTTGACTTGGCGAGAGATACATCCAGCTTGCACCTCAAAACTGTTCGCGAGTAAAAATTGTTGATTCAACGTCCGATTACTGAAATGACATTTACAATCAGTTAAGGGCGACAAGAAGTGGTGTTATTCTCGTGACTACAGCAGTCTGTTTAATGACTTTGCTGTGTAACATGGTTTAGAGCATGACAGGATCAGGACCAGGTAGTATTCGTAAGCTCGTACCTTGCATATTAGCGTAAACTTAGGCAGAGAGACGAGTAGAAGTGAAGGCGAGACTCAGAGTCGAGAGTTTCTGACCTAGTAGATGTGCCCCAAGCGAGCGCCTTGAGAACTTCGGTCATTGCCGAACTTTGGTAGAGCACTCACCGTAGCAATTCACAGGGGGAGTAGCCCAATAAGTTCTCAGAATTTATTGTGGATGCAGTTTAATGAAATCTTGCCAGGACAGCGAGACTTATTTTGGAACTTACCAGGGACGCATTTTGAATGAAGTTTGGCGATTTACACGTGACACGGCCAATTTGGTCATAAAAGATAATTTGATCTGAATATCTCCCCGCTAAGTACCAAATAAGTCTTGCTTTTCCTGCAAAACAAAGTTAAAGTACGTCTTCAATATTTCCACCATAAGTCCCGAGAACTTATCGGGCTATTCCCGCTGTGAATTCTGTCTCCGATTCATTCATCTCTGGCAGCATGCATGATAGTCCGCTCTTATATGCGGCATACGTTCCACTTGCAGCCCTTCACAAATTTGACTCAACGTTTCCCGCTTTCATTTGAACGTTTCCCACTTTGCGTAATACCGGCAACCCCGTTCTTGCTTCGAAATGCACTTCGAAAAGCACCGCTGCCTCGTGCGCCACCATTTGCTGGTGGTCAACTCTGTTTGCCGGACACGAAGCTTCGTGACTCCAGGTAAGGCTCTGTTAGCACGATCTGCCTTGGAACCCCTCAATTATCCACGCCAGCACGTCAAGAGGCGTTCGCCTCCCAGATCCATTCATCAACGTTAACGTTCGCACGTCCGCAGCTCCGATAGCTCCCGCACAGAGGTCTACAGAGGTACGAGGCAAGTAATGTTCTCATGACCTTGTGCCCCTGCTTCGACTAGCCATTCTAACGAAAACGAGCCAAGTGATCTCGGATTCTAGTCAGTCGTGCCGCTGCAATACTGGTTCCCCGATATGCGCCGCTTCGGACCCAAATACGTCACGTCACCCCTTCGCGCGAGATACAGAACGTTCTGCCCCCTTGCGGACCCCATAACGACACGTTCTAGTTTCCCAGGGACCTACGTGGAGTTCTATACAGTCCAATTAGCAAGGATCAGCAGTACGCTAACTGCCTCAAGCCGGAACGTATCCAAAAGCTATAAAATGGGTGTGCTGTTCGGCTTCTTCCCCAGCATTCGTCTTTCCATCCATCTCGGAGCTCGAAGTCACCTGTCGACCAAAAGCCCATCTAAGCCACAGACATGTCATTCCCAACCGTCGCCGCTGCTCCATACTTCGATGACGAGGAGCTGCGTAGCCTAGAAAGGCTCCGTGCCCTAACCAATGGTTCGAACGACAAAGTGGAGATTCTGAGGAGCTGTACGTCGGCACAGACGTCTTCATCTCTTGCGAATGCTGATAACATGCTACAGCCGCAGACCTCATGCAGAATCTGGAAAGAAAGCTCGAATTTCTGGCGAATGATAACCAGAGGTTGTTGAAAGAATCCGAGGAGGTCTCGGCGAGGAATCAGAGGCTACTTGCTATGACCAAGGTTGGACCTGGGGCAGTTCTGGCCAAGAAACGTGAGGCTAAGTAACAAGGCATATGACCTATTCGAGGCGAGAAGGGGGTTCAATAAAGTGAATGTACGCTGATAGCCTGTACCTGTAAAACATTCGTATCTGACCGAGTCTGCTCAGCACCAAGTCCGTAGATACAATGCCGATAATATGTAGTACCTCGCATCTATTCAGCTTGTTCCTGCATGTTTTGACAAATCGAGAGCATTTGGGTTGTGTGCTGTACATAGTCTTCACCAAGACAGTCCGGTATCCCCGATGTGTTTAAGCTTCACAAGATAACTCCGGCGCTGAGTTACGTTGCCGAGATAGCGCTTAGAACGTGGCGCCCAAGTTCGACCTACATCGTCCCTGAACGTTCCAGCATCCGCTCTCCCTCTACTCTGAATGGCCTCGTAATGATCTTGGTTTCAGCATTCATTCCGCGATCCGATACGCCACAGTATGCTATTAATATCGGCGTGATAGCAGCTATCGATTCCTAGCTGAAGTACATCCCTAATCAAAGGGATCAACTCCTGCAGGAAGATGATCACAGCAACTGGCGGGGTATCAGGGCACATCGGTGGAGCAGGCATAGCCACTACCCCGTGTTTGAGGCACTTGAAGCTCACCATCGCGTAGGTTTTCCTCGGCCAAGCGCTCAGGAACTGTCCAAAGTCATGACAGTCAAAAATAAGCCCAATCAGCGACCTCAAGAAGTTTGGACTTGTGCTGCGCCTTCAGGTGGATCTTCACATACTAAAAGAGGCTTTACGCATTCAAGCTTCGCTTCACTGATTGCTCGGAGGCCGTGAGGACGAGGGGGTTCAAACGGATTTAAATTGGTCGCGCCACTCCGTGTGAGCGGGGCCGTCGATTTCCGCCCGTCAAAGACTTTTTTGGACAAAGTCTCACCCCGGTGCCTCGCAAGGGCGTCTCATTTAAACTTGGAGATGACCCTTACCTCCATCACTTCCCAGAGACCGTGTTACCCTGACATGAGATACTTAAAGACCAGGCTTTGGGACTCGTCGCCCGGTTTGCCCCCTATCGTGATTGCCCCCAGATTGAACGATGTCTTCACTCGCTGCCGAGTTTGAGTTGCTCGAGGACATTCAGACTGCAAGGTACGCGTTAGGTGAGTTCTTGCATCTCCATGCTTCGCGAAGCCGGCTGACGAGAAGCGAAGCCGCGGTTTATGCCTTTACCGCCTATGATTACCGTGAGTCCGTCTCTGACCTGTGGGAGGCGTGGAGTCAGGTACATGGAAGTTAACGTTGATCGTCCCCACTACAAGTCTTGAACATCGACTTAGAGGTACGTTCTTTCAGTGTACACGCGGTGACAATGCGACTAATGCTGGGATACAGATTGGACTCATTTGGGTTGTTGACATGTTATATTTTTGGCTCTGTTGCTTATGTGCTCACTATTGGCGATGTCGAACAGGGCAAGAGATTCTCATGGACGACTCTGGTCTATGCTTTGGTGAGCCAATGATCCAGACCCAAACTACCGTTCTAGCTAAATCAGTGGGGATGTCAGCTGCGATATGCTGCTGTATACTTGACAGCGTAAGCAATCTTTGAATTCAATACAATTTAGTCTTTGGAACTCACCATATCGTCATGGATCTTATAGCATGACGATACGTGAGTCGCCTACCGCACTTACACCGCTACATGTCTGATTCGGGACAGTATTATCCTTGAGTACACCGTTATCGGACCAAGTAAGTAAAACTTTCGAGTCCTTTCTCAGTGGTCAGAGTCCTAATGGGATAATCAGAGGTGAGATTTCGTATCCGCTACGCCCGGACACACTTTGACATGTGAGCGACGATGAAACTCAGATGTGAGTCATGGCGCAGCAAGCTATATCAAACTAACTATGGAATGAACTAACGTTGACATTTTAGGTTACGAGTTGTACGCTCTGTCCCAGACCAGCACCTTTGCGGTAGTGCTCTTGCTCCAAGGTGCGCAGTTACCTCCGCCTTTCAAGTTGATTATGCTAAAAGTGCGTCTTGTTCAGGCATGCTCGCTACGCGAGTGTACATATTGCTCGAGAACTCCAGAAAGGTTCTCCTCTCGCTGACTGCATGTTTTATTGCGGATCAAGTGCTTAGCTTGGTGTCTTTCGTATCCGTTCTTTCCGTGGGGCCTAAACTTGTCTGTAAGGATCAAACGTTCCTCTCATCCCAAGTAACGTACTTATGTCACTTTAGCTGAGGTAGCAGCGCTTGGGGAAACGTTCTGTCTCACCACTATCCCAGATCGCCTTACTTGGGCGATACCAGTGGGAGCTGCTGCCTCGCTCGCATTTGAAATGGTATTGAGCGTCTACGCCCTTTGCTACATTTTCAAGCACGCGACGAGATCGCCGCGTGGTCTTCCTGCAATGTCGAGCTCCGCTCTTGCCACAACGCTCGTCCGCGACAATATACTTTATTTCGTAATGTAAAACGATTAATTTCTTCAACTAATTCTACGGTTTTTGACGCTGAACATCGCAGAGCGCTTTTGTCGATGATCGTCAAGGCTCTTCAGCTGTTACCCTCTCTCCAACTGGTACGTGGGTTTCATCTGTTTTGTCCAAAACTATCTCTCAAAGTTATATCCACATCAGTCTATTGCATTCGCGAGCGCGTACAGTATCACGCTTTCTCTCCTGATGGTGAGGCTAGGACCATGGATGATACTCAATTTGCGACGGAGACACGAGAAAGATGTGTCTGGGCTCGAAGAGATCACAGAGATGGCGACAGTTCAGTTTGCGAATCCACCTCCTGCAGAATACTACGAAGAAGACATATTTTAGCTTCTAGCACAGTCTCATTGTTTCTGAGACAGACCCAGCCAAGTAGTAGTCGTATGAGAAACACGTTGGCATTCTCAAAGGAGCGCAGCGACACGTGTTTGAAATCGGCTGCGCAAAGCAGACTACAGCACATTCCCCCTATCTCGACGCGTCGCGTTTCCTTGCGCGCGTCAGCCCGTGAGAACTTCGGTTATAACACCCGGCCTGTAGACCGCTCGCAGTTTCCGCGAGTCTGACATTGACCACCAACCATCCGTCGACGGCTTCGCCTTTCGTCAGAGTTTGACTTGGGCAATATACCCTTTATCCCTCTCCCTACTTGATTCCAGCTCGATTTGACTCTCTTCACAACTTCCTCGCGACCATGTCATCCGCACCCTTGAACCCTCTCGAGGTCCCACCATATCTGGTCCAGCCGTTGATTGAGAGCATACCTGGAGGCAGTAGCTCAACGACGATAACGTGTGCCCAAGCCTTAGGTATGTTAATCACCGTCTATGCGTGATCAACTTACCAGACCCAGACTCGGTATGAGCAGGGTCCGAGCTGTACATTGGATGTTCAAATGGCGAACTGCTACGGTATGCGCTCCAAGCAGATGACCCCACGAAGGTAAGAGTCCCAATCCAGGCTTGACTGCTACATTACTGAAGAAGCCTTGGGTAGTTAGAGTCGTACACCCTCCAGTCGCGCCAAACGTTGATCGCAGACAAGCCGGTGGATGAAGTTGTTATCGTCCCATGCATATCTAGGGCCTTGATTCTTTCCGGTGAGTAAACTTGACTTCGCCCTCAATGCCTATGACTGACGAACAGCTACTGCTCAGACCACCAAATCCATTTCTATACTATTCCGTCATTAGACCCCGTACCCAACATCAAACCGATCCGAAACGTCGTAACGTTCGCTGTGGACCAGCAGCATCTCCAGCGCCCCGCTCCCTCTCCCTCTGACCCCCCGTCCAAAACTGAGCAAGTCGAGTTCTGCGCTATCAAACGGAACAACATTCAGCTCTACGTTATACGAGAGCGCCCTATCTTCCAGAAAGTGCGTATTCGGGCTCATGATTTGGATGGGGTTCGGTGCTGACACTCCCTACAGGAGATCCCACTTCCCGATGGGGCCACTGTTGCACGTCGCACAGGGCAATATCTGTGTGCTGCCGATAATGCGTACTACAGCGTAATCAATCTCGAGGCTGCTTCGATGCTTTCGGTCCTGCCGGTCTCTCAGGCTGAAGACTCGGGACCTGTCAAGCCGTTCATCACCGTCATCAGTGAAAATGAGTTCCTCATACTGTCTTGGACGGGAGCAAGTACGCTTGGCGTGTTCATCACGGGTGATGGGGACCCTGTACGCGGAACGCTGGAGTGGCCAAGGCATCCGGAGGCTGTCTGTAAGCCCACCCATCCATCCTTCATATACTTCGATAAGCTGACGATGAGAAGGTCTTGATTATCCCTATATCACGACGCTCATGCAAACGGGGGCGGTCGAGATCCACAACGTGGAGACGCAGATTATCGCACAAGTTGTATCGGCTCCGGAGCCAGGGTCTCAGGATGCAAGTGTGAATATGTCGCGAATGGGTTTGAAGGCTTGCTTGGGTGGGTATATGGTTCCGACTTCTCAGCGGACAGACAAGATGCGATTGAAATCGGTTCGCCTCATCCGCCATCCTCCCGAGAAGCCGTCAGATCCTTCCCCCGAATCCGAACCCGAGCACGAGGAGGTGGAGGGATACGCTGTCGAGGATAGTCAGATAGAACCCCAGGAAATATGATACCCCAACGATTGTACTGTGACTGGGGTTTTGTTCTCGTCCCGTGTCTATTCCATACCTTTGCAATGCGCATTGAGTCTGTCGAAAAGTCGAGTCACATGATGTTGGCGTCAAAGCTCTTGTGGCATCCAGTTGAACTTGAATCTCCCCTCTTGTCTTCTCCCCTCACCCTTGTGCACGCGACACCACACCGCCAAGGTCGACGTTCCTCTCCACTGTTAACACACTACCTGCACTCTGTCCTTCTGCTGAACGCTTCACTCCATGCAACACACCAACTACTCTGGTACTTTGAAGACTACTAGCATGACCGTCGAACCTAAACTCTCCACTATGCTCTCTGACCTCTCCTTACACTCCACCCAACAAGACGACTTCCATCCACCTAGGTCTCCTAGCAGGCTAGACTTCTGTGGCTCCGACGAGGAGGCGGGCGTGTTCATCGGCGACGACGACTCAGATGGCGAGCCGCGCGTCAAGATCCCAAAGTCGCACTGGTTCCGCGCCTTCGATGAAAGCGACCAGGAAGATCCACATTTCCAGATCAGCACCATGAAGGCCGCCTCGCAGAGCTCTGACACCTTTATCCTACCTGCTTCGCCTTTCGAGGAAGACGCCAGCTCCGAGGGGTCCGAGTACAGCTCCGACGAGGAGATACCCACGTGCATAGACATCTCGCCGTCTTTTCCTACCGTTAAATTCGCTGCATGTACTCCCGAACCAAGCGAGGCCTCTGTTTCTGTAATCGAGGAGGAGGAGGACGTGCCAGCGCCTCCTGCCCCAGCACTTATGACGAGCGCGGAGCGTGCAGTCCACAGGCTCAACTACCCGCATCACGGATACTCGAGGAGCGCTCTTCTGCATCAAAAGTGGCTTTGGCACTCTCGGCGAGAAGAATGGATCGCATGGGAAAACCGCGACCGGGATAGTAAAACTGGCGTTCGCTCCCCCAGCCCAGAACACAGCATTGAAGGCGCATACAGCGGCATCACTGAACACTACGACGCCCGCGATGAGCCTCTGCCCCGCCCCGCGTGCCCGCCGTCCGGGTGGGAACGCGAGCTCGAGGATGTGCCGCCCGGACACGTCGGGCAGGACACCGACGCGCCCATCTACCCGCGGATCGGCGACCTGTCGGCGCTGCGCGATCCGTACTGCGTCAACGTGGACCGGTGCTTCCACCACTTCCCGCTCTGGATGATCCACAAGACGCTTTACGTGTTCGACATGCACCAGCGGTTCATCGAGTGCATTGAGCGCCGCGTTACTGCGCGTTCTTTCTCTGGCTCTTCTGCCGCGCCCCGGGTCCGAGGATCGGTCCGTCGGAAGAGGGCGCCTACGCCTCCTCCTTCTTTAGCTCTGTCTGTTGTAACTCCGAGTGAGATCTCGACTTCTGCGACTGCATCTGGGTCTGCATCTACGTCAGCGCCTGTTGTTGCTTCTTCATCTTCCGACCCCAGCTTGACCCCGGCGTTGCCTTCGCCCTGGGAGGAGGGTCGCACGCCAGCAGACGGCAGCGACGAATCGTTCAGCAGCCGAATGGGAATACTCCCTCGCCCCGACCTTTGCCCCTCTGGGTCGCTCTCTGACAAGCTGCGCTCTCATCGCCCATGGGAGCTCTCATGGTACGCCCGGTGGGAGCTCCTCATCGGGCTCGTCCAGCATGACTCTGCCATTCTCAACGGCGGCATGCGGTTATCCACGTCGTCGTCCAGCCCATGTAGTCTGCTCGCCTCGGAATCCCCTGGAATCAGCCCTACAAGCTCCACGGAAACGATCGAGGCACCAGCCGAGGTTGGCGTCCCACTGCGCCGTTTTTCGTCTGCTAGAAGCGACGAGCCTTGGGTGCTTCAGGACTCATCTGACGACGACGAGGACGACTACGGGACGATAGTGGCTAACCCGACGTTCGAGCGGGCGTTTGATGAGTATATGCACGCTGGTTTCACTCCTGATACTGAATACCAATGAAGGGAGTCGAGTGTCTTTCGTTTTTTATTCACCCGCTATATACTCTATCGTTCTGTAGCCTGATAATGATATCGTTGTGTTAATCTAGTACTCATAACGTCGAGGTCGCCTATTGAGTGGTTAACCTGTGGACATCCGAAGCCACCAGCCCGAGAATTGAGCGCTAGGCAAGTAGTGCATGCGGTGACAGCGTACATGGATATGAGCCGGAGCGTTGACACGCACCTTGGTACGTGTATCATAAAAGACCGGGCCTGGCCATCGGAAGCAGAGGACCCAGGTGACTCGACCATTTTACCTCTGTCGACTCCATTGTCAGCAAAACGTCGCTTTGGAATAGCGCGGAGAGGGTCATTCTCGTATCTTAATGCCTCAAAGAACCATTGAGCTATCTCGCGCACCAGGAGGTAACAGTGGCCACACTCTGGCCTTGGGAAAGCGTCTGAAGATATAAGGGTTAGTATCACAATACAGTCCACCCTACGTCACGGCAGGTAAGATTGCGCACCAGATGCCGCCGTGTCTCTTGTATTCGAAGCCATCAACTTCACCTCTGCATCGCTGTCTGCAACATGATCCGGTGACTTGCTGCCAGTTTGGTGGCTTGGCGTATGTTGCTCGGTGGTTTCTTGGGAACCAGAAGGTCTGTCTCACAATTAAATCAAAATATTTTGGTTATCTCACGCGCGCCATCAAAGCTAGTGGGGTTGGCGAGTTTGAATGCTTTGGTTACATATGACCTTGTCCCATTCTAACGCGTAATTCAGTCGGACCTCGGTATCTACTTCCGAAAGCTTTTTTGTTGTAGGTAGAACATCTAGTGACCATATGTTTACATTTACCAGACGCAACTCAAGCTATATCGTCGCTCTCAAGCCCTTTCAGTCACACGCCGTCGGGACAGTCGTTCTGTGTCGCCGCGCGTCGCTATCAATCGGACCCATTTTCACTGGGATTGAGCAACAGCAGGGTACTTCACGACCTAGGAACGCCACCTCTGCCAATGAATCCCCATTCGATCTGGTTGGCAATCTTGATGTTGACGCCCAGTTCTTCCGCCCAGCTAAGAAGATGGTCACGATAAGCATTCGAGCAACACACAGAAAGAAGCGTTACTCACGTCCAAACTGCCGCCGGATTCTTCTGGAACGTCCTGCCCGCAAGAATGACGTCCGCCATACCCTTGTCCAGGATGCTCTGCGCGCTCGTGCCGCTCGTGATCATACCGACCGCGCCGACGACGAGCTTGTCGCCGTGCGCCTTTTTGACCGCCTCCGCGAAGGGCGCCTGGTAACCCTCGCCCGCCTTTGCGCGGCCCTCGCTGTTGTTGCCGCCACTCGAGACGTCGAGGAAGTCGACACCGTGCTCGGCGAGGAGGCCCGCGAGGCGTACGGTGTCTTCCGAGCGCCACTGGGGAGCATCGGGTAGCGTTTCTTCGAGCCATTCGGTGGCGGAGATACTAAATAATATCCATCCATCAGTACTGTTCTGGCACGAACAAAACTAGCACAAGGCTCACCGAAGTAGCAGCGGCATGTCCTCGGGAATCACGCTTCGGAGCGCATCGACGACCTCGAGCGTCAACCGCGTCCGGTTCTCGAAGCTGCCCCCGTACTCGTCCGTGCGCTTATTGCTGTACGGGCTCAAAAACGAAAACAGCAAATACCCATGCGCATTATGAATCTCGATGGCATCCACACCCGCCCGCAGCGCGCGCTTCGCACTCGCCACAAACGCGCTCTTCACCTCCTGAATCTGCGCGCGCGTCATCGCCTTGGGCACCGGCGAGTGCCTGTCGAACTGCGTGTCCGACGGCCCGAACACGCGCTCGGGCCACCCGCCCACCATCTCGACCGCGTAGTCCGCCGCGACGCCGGGCTTGCCGCGCAGCCACGGCGCGTTCGTGGACGCCTTGCGCCCCGCGTGCGCGAGCTGGATGGCGATCTTCTGGCCCTGCGCGTGCGCGAACTCGACGATCTTGCGCAGCGGCTCGATCTGGCTGTCTTTCCAGAGGCCCGAGTCTTCGGGCGTGATTCGACCCTCGGGCAGGACGGCCGTGGCTTCGATAATGGTGAGCGCCGGGCCGCGGGTGAATATTCCGCCGACTGGGTACGGGTCGGCAGTCGGGACGAAAAGAGGGTAACGGGAAAGATAGGGATAGCGGCGGAGGTGGCAAATATGGACCCGGGCGCCGAAAGAGGTGCGATGACGAGCGAGAGCGTCAGAGCGGCGGTAGATGCGCTGAGCGCTGGGGATACGCACGGTGAGCAAAGTGCCAGGCTGTCAAGTGCCCGTCGTCTGCGGAGTATTGGCACATGGGAGCGACCTGTTGGTTGACGGTTAGAGCATCTTCACGGACAATAGGGGCATCACCGCATACAAAGATACGGTTGTGGAACGTCACTCCTCTGATCTTGATGGGCTGGAAGAGCTTAGGCACTGGAGCATCATTGGGCTGAGGACCAATTGCCGTCCCGGAAGGAGGCTCTTGAGCGGGGGTGAAGTACGATGTATTCCATGCGGGCTTGTTGATGACCACTTCCATGGCGCCACGACGTCAAGTGACGGGATGAAGACGAGCAACTTAGGTAGGGAAGAATACGGGGCAAAGAAGATGGAATTGCTCATATATATACAAATTCGGAGTATGTAAGAGGCTGATGGGCAACGTACCGGTACCATGCGACGCAGTGATTAGTAGCCTAATACCAAGCCTAAGATGAGTAAGAAAGTAGGATGAGTAAGACGAAAGTTCGGGAAAACTTGAGTGGACCCACCCTTGAGCCAAAATATTTCCCCTCCCCATGACGCCATCGGCTTCATTGACCTTCCATCCCATGCGAGAGAAGCCGCGGTCCTGCAGCCGGATGCCGGTGGTGGTTATAAATAAGAAAGAACTCCGCGAAGGAGCAAGGGAAGCAAAAAATTGCGATTGAAATCAGCGCAAGAGTAGTCTGAATCGAGTTTCACGACGCCCGAAGGCGACCGCGAGCCACGAAGTGAACTCAAGGACGACGGCCAATCCTCGTTGCGAATGCTATGCGTCTTCTCGTACGCCGGGAGCGCTCTCCTGAGGCGCTCGTGCTGACCCCTGCATGGAGATGTACCATGCGGCCGATATGGCCTGCACTATTCATGCTGACTAGGTCGTAGTCCGCTCGAAGGAAGAAGCCTTTGCTTTCGTAGAAGTGGTGGCCGGCGTTGCAGCCTGGAGCCGTGCACATGTGCTCTGCGCGGCGTGGTAGCGCGCGCTGATCATAGTCGTGTGGCAGCGAAGAGGCCGCGCCAGACTGTACTCTAGGAAGCGGAGGAGCTTCACCCAGTGTGACTAGTAGACCCTAGATAGAGCCACCTAGCTAGATCTCGCGATGGAGTTCTATACTCTCCGGAGGGAACCGAAGATTACTCTAAGTTGCCTTAGAGGAGCGCCGCCTTGTCAGGCGGGTGGGGGTGGGGCCAGCGTCCGAACAGAATGGCCAGGCGGCATCCTGGGCGCTCTGTTGCAGAGCACGAGGCGCGATAAAGAGCATGGCAAACGTGGAGGAGATGCGCGTCGCCCGATCCCCGCGATGCGTTTCAGAGCGACGTCGTGCTGTCCTCGGCCTGGCCAAAGCCAGGCTTCTTGGGGCATATGCACGACGCGCTGGTTTTCTGGTACACCGCGCAGCCATTACAGCTGGGCCCAGCGAGAGCCGATGGATGGGGATTAAAACGCTCAGACCTTAGCCCGCTCGAGAGAAAGGACACCCGAGGGCATCCTGTGTGTGTCGAGCATCGTGGCCTTTGCGCTGATTGAAGAAAAACGCAACTCCCGCATCCGCCCTTTCACTCATCAAAACTTTTCCGGCTCCGACTCATTCTCCGCCGGCGCTTAGCGTCTGGCACCAGCCGCGCTTCCTTTGTTCATCTCAGGCTAGTTATGACGAAGGCTTTCGCCATAACTCAGTATTATCAACTTCCTCTTCGGCTTATCCATGTGCATCCTGTGCTATCCATGTATACAATGAAGGCCTGAAGCCTCTCCCTGCTCTTGAGAGTCCATCATGCCGGAATCTCCAACCCTGCCTTAACTGCAGCACGCTCGTGAACACGATCAATCCATTTCTGTGAGTCACCCGTACTAAGTGGCCTCGTCCTGCATACATGCAAGAAGTCTGTGCTTACCTTGAAGTTCGCGAACTCGTCGACGGACTCGATACCAATGAACTTGTGTGCTAGGATCCTGTTCAGACGTCGGCTTTCCCCTCTGCACATTCCCTCGGGTGCACACTTACCAGGGGAAGACGTTGGCATCGGCGATAGAGTTCTGGCCACGATCGGGGTCAGCAAGGTAGTCGCGATCCGTCAGGCGTAGTTCTATCACGCTGTACAGACGCATCGTCTCATCACCGTAGCCTGTTCGGTTTGCCTTAGCGCACAAAGACGGTCAGGCGAGTGAATGACGCTGCACGTACGGTTCTTGGCAAGTGGGATGTCCTACTTGGCAGATCTATGGAAGAACGGGGCTACGTGCCTTGGTCAGCCACAATGTTCGCCTCCGACGTCCAGCGGCGCTTACCCTGGCCGGGCATAGGGCCGACGCCGCCATGGGCAAAGAAGATCCACTGCGGCGCCTCGCTGTAGTCCTTCAGCCGATTTACGGGGTTGAAGGAAAGCTTGTTCTCGGTGTCGTAGTGCTGTGCGAGATAGAGCAGAATAGCAGCCAACTCGAAACGACAAAGTCTACACGCGGGTGGTCGACGAGCGCGGGGATCTTCCCGTTCGGGTTGATCCTGATGAACCAGTCCTCTTTCTGCTCGTTCTTGGACATATCGATCTTGCGAACTCTGTCTCATTGGTGAGTACGATTTACTTTCAGATGGTGCATGTTCGATGCAGGGACACGTACTCATAGTCGACTTTGCTTCCGTCTACGGCCTCGAGCTCTTCAAGGTACATGGAAACCTTCTTGCCGTTGGGCGTGGGGCTGGTGTAGAAGGTGAAGATCTTGATCGACATGCTGCTCTTAGGATAGTCAGAGGTATCTGCAAGCTGAATGACAGGTTTCCATCATTCTCATGTGTCGAAGGCGTTGTGATAGCTGGGAACACAAGTCACGTTTTGAGGACATCCCTTGCTCATGTTTTCCAATAGCGACGCTTAATGAGGTAAGACACCAAGCAAGGGGCATGTATAAATCCGGGGATTGTTACCGAATGATTCACCAACTCGATTCGTTGATGCCCTAGCTGGCTCAGCGTGCTGTGTAATCTGGATGTAGGCCAACTCCTTGGGTGATGAAAGCTTTAACTACCACGCCTACAAGCTTTGAGGGTCATGAAATGAAGGGCTGAACATCAACACCAAAGCACAGCAGCCATGCTAGGAAAACAGATAGTAAAGAGCAATGCGTAGAGAAGATGAACGTGGTTGTGATCACAGACGACTCGAAACAACGGTCGGATGCAGACAGGTAAAGGCGCTGCACCGCATTTGGCGCTTATGCGGAGCCCCACCTGGAAGCGAATTCTTTCCCACACTCCTCCACCATGGCGCTTATCCGAGCCCTTTCCTTGTGTTTGCAGCTTTATCGATGTCTCGCTGATAAAGCTAACGATGTAAATTAGCAAGCACCTCTGGGGCGCGGAGAGCGAGCGGTCTTCAGCTTCGCGGGAGAAGCATAAACCTACCGGCACGCCTCATGTGTGTGCTCTGACTTCACATGTCCTAGCTTCTCATCTTCGTTTCGATAAGATTATTCCAAGACCGAAGGACACCTTTTCCAACCAATTCCACTTCCATATCGCACGCTTGCGTCATCTTCTTAACTGCATGCTACGCCATGCGTGAAAAGAAGCCCGAGACTCGTTCGGAAACCATTTATCTTTCCATAATGTAAGAAATGGACTGATGTAGCTGCGGTTTACACTGCCAAATGGTTCGAAACAAGCCGCGGTCTCTTGCAATAATCTGAGCTGGACACGGAACCGGATATAGATCATCATCCGGTGCTTTGTCCATCGCATACCCGGAATTACTTATTCATCATGTAAGGAGGTCGTTTTATCAGTCCGCAGAAGTGCAGAGATTCACAGCCAGCACATCATCGCAGAGATGATTTACCGGTCAAGGTATTCTTGGGCTCAAAGTGCAAGCGCACTGTGATCAGTCAGACGGCAGCTTTTTATGGTGTCATCGCGTTAAACCCTCATGCAGCGCATTCACAATAACATATGGGAACCGACATGGCTTAGTGTTGGCATAGAGTCAGATTATCGTAACGAGCGAGGGAAATAGAGAAAGCAAATGCCGGCTAACAGACTACTCCCCAGCATTCCATACCTCCGCAGCTTTGTGGTTCGGCCGAGATCTCCGGGACTCCAGGGTATCGTGGATTCCTGACACAGCTCATAAAAAAAAACTAAAAAGAGCACTTGCAGCGTGCCCACTGCCCCCTTAAGTCTGTCCGAGTCTTGGGAAACATAATGTGTTTATATTTTCCTCTCGTGATGAGGAAGGTCTCCTCGACTCCTAAACGCATGGGCAGTCGATGGGGAGTACCGTTCGTATGCGGCGTTTTGCACTACCCCCGACAATCTAAAGGCACTACGAAAAAAGAGACCAAGTCGTGTGCCACTGGTGCGCCTGGGCCATGACCGCTTAGGACGAGATATACATGGCCTGGTCAAATGCGCACATTTAGTCTACAGCTCAGGTCGACCTGTGTCGACTCCACGCCGTGGCACTGTCGGGACAAAGATAGGCACCTTTATACAAGGCTGGTGTACACATTCGCATTCGCGACACCGAGTTCACCATGGAACCAAGACAATGGCGAGGTGAGAGAGATGATTTACGGGCCCACCCGAAGGACAAAAACGCGGTGAACCCCTGGTTCAAGCTGTATCTCTCGGATGAGCCCGGGCCCAGACGTATATGGACATAGTATGTGAATGGCCTTATTTGAGGTAAATAGAAGATCGCTCACGGTCAGTAAATATATGTAGCTTCGATCAGCGCTTGGGAGCTTGGAACGTTTTTGTACGAACCCAATGTCGTGGCAAGAGAAAGCAGGAGGAAGCGACATGTAGGGGGTGACGAGCCTCGGACATCTGCTATTCCTGCTTTAGAACAATGCATGCTCAGCGTGGCGTTATAGGTGCATGTATAACTACTATTGCAGGATTTTGTACACCGAGGGGGAGGAGAGCATGTGTGACTTTCAACTTCTCGACATGCGCAAAGTTTACTTCGTTGTTTGATCTATTTCCGGGACGCATTCGCCCGGGAGGAAATTGTTTGCCAATTCAGCGGAGTTTCGCTGAGGTGAACCGGATTTCAACTGCACTGTAGTTCGTCCAGCGCTGTGCTGACTGTACGGCCCAACGAAGACCTCTAGACGGCAACTTAAAATCAACATTTGTCGGGCGCTGATGCGGCAGTTCCTCTAATCGATACCGCACACCTTTATAGAGTCGCATGACCGGCCTCCGTGCGATATTCGTGTATCGCGTACATACTTGTCCGCCACCTTCGCAACATTCCGTCTGCACTTCCTCAACCCCATAAGGACGAACTTTATCAGCGTTGGTCTTGGGCAGCACTACGGGTCTACTTGCAGAGGATACGAAGCCGAAGTCCCATCTTCAGGCGATCGATGCAGAAAACGATTTGTCTGCTAACCTTATAATCACTGTTCATTGGACGTTTACATGCCTTCGCAAAGCAGTCAAGAATGCGCAACAAGATGCACGCTCTTCGCCACCGTCGCCTCAGATGTTTCATGTATTGCTGACGAAATTGTACCTGAAATCATAAAGTCCCCGTGCCCTGACCACCCCCACTGATGGTGTGCACTGACCTGCGATACGAGCACTGTTCACACAAAAAGTTCCACCAGTACCAACGACAGTATTAACGCACGCACCAGACTGCAAACCAGGTGGCACTGTGGCTCATCAGAAGCCTTTTGGACAACTGCCTTTTGGGCGCCTTCTCTGGATCTCCCTCCCGCCATCCGGGAAGAAGGGCACGGCAGATCATCGCCGATGTTAGATAAGTCGACAGTCGAAATAGCGTCGCGATCGGTGAACAGTGAAAATAGCACACAACTGTGCGATCGATCACCTTAAGGAAGCTCAGGGACCGGGTTTTACCAGTCCTTCTCCTAACGTTGCCTTCTCAAGAAGCGAAGGTACATAAGTAGCACGAGCTTGAGTATCTTGAATGAACGAGGGAGTACACGCCAAGCCAATCGGGAGAGGAAAAAGCCTCAGGATGGTGCCTCGGCCATCAGGCCTCCCATCGTGCTCAGTCTGTGCCTTTGCGTCCGAGGACACTAGATACCTTTCGGGGGACAAAGCGTGCGCAACGGCCGAGCCACGTTGGGGGAATCGTTGATACTGCGGATGCGGAAAGAGGAAGGGCAGAACCGGCGGTTCCAGCGCCTATGAAGACTCGCAGAAATACTCACAAGCTAGACCATTTGCGCGCACGCTCACAATCCGGCGTATAATCAGGTGGAAGGAGGGTGTACCGGAACTCGTGATTGACGGGGATCTCTGGCGAGACGTTTCGCCCGGATGATAAGACACCGGCGGCCTACGCGGAGACGTCAGACGTTGTCAGAGATGCGAGTTGCACTGGCCGACGCCGGCGACACCGAGCCATGATATAACAGACCAAGAGTGTCGAGAATATACCGCGCGACCGACAGGTTCCGGAAGGCACTGATAACATTAGTAGAAAAGCTAACGTTACCTCGACACGCACGTCTGGGAGCCAGACCACGGGGCTACATAGCGTCCGATGTACGTTAACCCTGTCATGGCGTGTCAGGTGCTTAAGCTTGTGGGTAAAATGCTGTAGAATCAGCACGCGTGTTGATCATCAACCGTTAGGCGCTCGCTCGATCGTAGGGGCGGTGGATTGTCTAGAGCCCGATAGCCAGCGCTCTCCTGTCAAATCGAGTGGGCAATAGAATGGCAAGCTGTGACAAGGGAAGCCGATGGGAAGAAAACATCGTTGGTCCGAGAATACAGGGAGCGAATAGTAAGCCGTGACGCTGATACGCAAAGCGCCACTGCCATAAATATCAGCCGGTCGGTTTGTAGAACGGAGGAGGCCTCTCGGCACTTACCTATGAGTAGAAAGCAGGGTGGTTATTTGCTGAAGCAGCCTTTAAGCATAGGGTGTCAAGCGAGAGTAGCCGTTGGTCGAGTAGCTGAAGCGCTTGACTCTGCGAGCTAGTCGTCGCGTAGTGTTGAGCAAGGAGAGATAGGAAGGAGCTAGAAGCCGGAGACGCGGACATCAAAGTTGAGGCGGAGAAAGGTTAACGAAGGAGGTGGCGAGCATGTGGGTCTGAAAGCAGGGCAAAGCCGAATATGTATAATTATACCTCGAAGGAAAAGCACCGCGCTTTGTCTGCTATCATCGTCCGCGTCGTTGTTGAGCGCAGCATGCGGCAGGCCAAGTGAGCGCGCAAGCAACGCAGTCGAGTCGAAATCTAGAACCGATACGCGACTCAACTCGGGGGGTTCAGTTCGAACTTCGCACGTGTGGCTGGGCTCGCGACCGACTCTCTGCCACAACACCACCTGTACGACAGCCCTCCTCCTCCTCTGCATCCCCTGCAGCCTCCAGACAACCTCCCTCGCAACGTTTACGACGCCAGGAGCCTCACGAACACAATACACTGCGAATTGGAACGAATTCGGTCCGTCATTTCGGGAGCACACTAGTTCTGAGCGGCGACGGTCGGAAAACGAGCGTTTTGGAGCGGAGTGAGTACTCGAATCCAAACCTTCTCCTGCGTCGCCCCCGACCCTACACATACGTTTTCTTGTGTTACAATCAATATTCTTCCATCGCTTTCTGCGCTCGCTGTGATATCAGAGAGTTGGGCTGAAACTATGATGGCCTTTTTTTCTTCCGCGCGTCTGCTGACACATTCACCCAGACACGTCTCCCGTCAACGACGACCACGAACAAGAACGACAACATCACTACCATGACCAGCGAGCAACCAAAGCCAAACGTCCCTCCCGTCCAGGAGCACCCGTACCCCGGCATGCCGCCGTATCCTCCCTATGGCACCGCATATCCCCCGCCTGGATACCCCGTGTACTACCCACCTCCACCTGATCCCAATCATGCAGATTCTAACAACGGCGCGCCCCCTAGTCATCCATATATGTTTCCCTTCCCGGCTGGCCCAGGCATGATTTACCCGTATCCCCCGCCCCCAGGTCAAGGTTGCTCGACGCCCTTCTTCTCCTCTCACGTTGCTGACACGAGGACTACACAGGTTTCCCGCCGTTCGCCCAGCCTCCGCCCAATGGCGCTAACGGGGTCAAGCCGAAGCGGAAGCAAGTAAAGATGGCCGTGAGCACTATTTTCATCCGTTGCTTCGCGAGCTACAAAATCTTCTGACGTGGTATTCAGTGCACGAACTGTGCGTCCGCATGCAAACGTTGCGACGAAGGCCGCCCCTGCGAACGATGCATCAAGTATGGCATGGCCGATAGCTGCATCGACGGCATCCGTAAGGAGCGCCAGAAGGGCATCAAGCGTGGTCCATATAAGCGAAAGAATAAGAATGCGAGCCCCGAGGACACGAGCCATATGTCCAGTAAGTTCTCTTGTCCTCAACTGTTCCACACCATTCTGCCCGCCCATTGCTTCTCAGTATCCACTCGCGACTAACCACTTGTTCTTCCTGCCCTGTTCTCTGTCGTCAGATCCTGACTGGCAAGCCAATGGTTCCTCTGCCAGCCCTACTACCCCCGCTGGTGCTCCGATGCACCCTATGTCCCATTTCCCACCTCCTCCAGAGGGGTTCTATCCTTACTTCTACCCTCCGCCTGGAATGATGCCTCCCGGCCACGATGGCCAGCCCGCTCCCGGCCCCCCTCCTGATGGTAGTCCCGCGAATGGACAGCCGCCCGGCCCGGCGGCGCAGATGGTCCCGTACTACCCTATGGCGCCCGGCTACTACCCCTACGGCCCGCCTGGCTATCCGCCCGTCCCCGGAGCGCCTCCGCCGGGCAGTGCACCTCCGGTGCAGACGATGGACCCGAGCGAGGCCACCAATGGGCACGCGCAGGGAGAAGGGAACGGGAATGGGAATGGGAACGGGAAGAAGAGGGGCAGGCCATCGAACGCCAAAGAGGATAAGAGCAAGAAGACGAAGACGACTGACACTACTAGTAACACCGACCAGGGAGAAGATGCCTCCTCCACCAGGAGCGACGGGACGTCCGTTGAGACCGACGCCTAGCGCGCCGTCTCTGGCTCTCTGAACGTCCGCACGAGCTCCTCTGGCCCTTGTCCGTGGTCGCGTTCTAGTTTACCACCAGTCACCAGCTATGAAGTGATCAACAACACTCACTCTGTCCTTGCCTTTCGTTCGCTTTCGCACGCACGCTACGCCGTCGTCATGTCCCCTACGCAGACGCGCTAATGCATCACTCAATTATCAAATCCTCAATATCAAATATCAAATGCCGCTTTGCGTGCTCTCTATCCGAACCACTGTTGTCGTATTTTGCCTCCGACGCACTTACCCAAATGCGAGTCTTCCAACGTTTTTTGACCTCCAACTCGGGTTCCAACGGGGATGGGGCGGCATCTCGCGTCGAGCCGAGTTCCACACCGGACCCGAAGCGTGATCGCCGCCAACGTGAACGAAATAACAGCGGGGGCGGGCGAGACGCTAGGACGGAACCGTGTTGTTGGTCAAAAAGCCGTTGGAGGCAAAATCGCCCCGCGCTTTAACTGTTTACGTATATTGCTACTATTGCTACTAACACCTATCACAAAGTTTTTTTTCTATATCTTCGGAATATCTCTCACTCTATTGTCGTTGCTTCGTCGTCGTCGTTCTCGTCGTTAACGTTCTGTTGTTATCTCTTCTATGGCTTTTCCCATCTATCGCTGCGGCCCGCCCTTGCCTTCCATTGCGCCCGCTTTCGTACACGTTTCGGGCTCCTTGGGGGGCTTGCAAGAGGGTCGGTATTTATGTTATCCTCTTCGCTCGTGTATTCTACTATCCCACCTTCCCCTCCCCATCTGTGCATTCTCGAGCTCGAGTCGTCCGTGATACTTGCTGTCGGTTGCCATTCGTGGTCTCCGCTGTATATGTTGTACTGTATGCGCGATCTGTTATATAGATGCGTCAATTGAAAATGGCCCCTGTTTCTGTGATTCGAGAGCATCATGAGCAGTTGAGTTTTAGAAGATGGAGTACGAGCATTAATTAGGCAGGACATGACAACAGGTTAGAATGCCACATCATGGTAACGCGAAGGGTAGCAAGACTATATAAAGCATGGTAGCAGTTCTTCGGATGCTGGCGGCCGGAAGTTAATATAGCATAGCAGAAACGAGAAAGTCAAAATATCAGAGTTCAAAGATCATGCTCGGCGTCCTTTGCGCCAGACCTAAGAGCGCTAATGGGCAAGGGCGGATCCCCGCCCTTGTAGTTCACCTGTTTGCGCCAGTCCGGATTATGTGGCAGCTTCTCGAGCTGCTCGTCAGATATGCCCGCTGCATATGCCGTGAGTGGCCGCCTTCAAAAGTTGCGTAAAAGCCACTCACAGATGCTCAGGTACGTCTGTATCCGCTTATCGTCGCCAAAGTACAGCTCCAACCACGGATACTGCGCCTCCCCTCCTCGTTGGTCGAACTCCTCGAACATCTCGCGGACCATCTCGTCGCACTCGCCCTTGTCGAGCCCCATGACGAGCTCGATGTCGCGCTTCACGTCCACGAGACGGAAGACGCCCGTGCGGACGGCGCGGAAGCGGCCCGCGGGGTGTTTGGCGCTCGCGATCTCGCGGACCTCGGTGATCAGGAGATGTGTGCGCCCGCGGTTGTGGTCGCGCTGCAGGTTGAGCGCGTGCACGCGGGCGTGGAGCATCTCGTCTGGGAAGATCATGTTGCGCCAGTTGGTCCAGTCTGTCAATAGCTGGCTGCCTGCTGTGTCGCCCAGTGCTTTCAGAAGGTCGGCGCGCATGAGCGATGCGGCCTGGTCCCTAGTAGTAGCAAGTGCCATGAGAATTGAGACGCAAAGTAGAGATAAACGACGAACTTGCAGAATTCCCTATATTCGGTTCGTTTGAGCTATTGGAACCAAATCGACGGAGTATGACTCACTTATGCAGACGCCAATTTTCCTTCTGACATTCTCTCGAGCTGTTTCACTGTGTTAAATGGTGTCTTCGACGACAATGGCATGGCGTACCAGTAGAATGTATGCTTGCACTTTACGCACTGGAAGAGTTTCACCGCTAGTTCTGCCTTGTTGCAATGCCGGCATACGCGCGACCTCCGCTGCTGAGCGTTGTAAGAAAGCCCGCGGCGCGTCAATACCTCCATGCCGCCTGTTGCAATTAGGATAGGATCAGTCTCGGGATCTGTGTCCGAAGTCCCGAAGAGGTCTCGTAGCTCGGAGACTGGGAAGCGGCTGTGATTCTTTTTGAGCCACTTGGCAACGAAGGCCTCGCTATGTTGGACACAACGTTAGAAACACATATTGAATCAACGCATCGATGAAACGAACAGTTTTTCAGCCTCGGCCTCACTTTCGGCGCCACGACGGCGAAGCACACGTGAAAGGTAGACGCGGCATTTGATGGCATACAGCTGGTCCGGTGCTTTGTTCTTTGGCTTGTCGAACGCAACTAACGTCCTACGCAGGACACGCTCGGCCTCCTCATCGTCTTCACGAGTACGAGCAAGAGCGGTGCCGAACTCAGCATACATGTTGCTACACGGGCCTATCAGCTGTGGTATTCCAATGAAAGTAGATACATGGTACGCACGGATTGTGAGTGAGCATATCATCCGACTTTGTCTTAGGGCCAATACGCTCGGTCTGGATGTCGATGATCTTGTGGAAATACTTAACAGCCTCTTTTGGACGATCCACGAGTGCGCTCCTTATAAGATAGAGCGCATATAAGAAGATGACATGGAAGAGGGAAGGGAGGGTTTACATCAAATGCTTGGTTAGCTTGAACTGGCTGTTTATGACCTTTATGAGAAGTGAGTGCGCATTCCTGAGTGACGCTGTCGAAAGCACTCACCAACATATGCCGTGCTGTCTCCGCCATCGCCCCTCTCTGGTGGGGTAGGATGTGCCCGAGCGCCCGTAATTGATCCTCCGGTGCTTCCTCGGCTGCTCGCGCAAACCATTGGAGAGCCCACACACATTGCGGGAGAATATCGTACGGTACTACACAACGCACACAAACGGTCACTTGGAACAGAGAATCTAGACACCATGTGACTCACCAGTATCGTGCTGACAGAAGTAAGCAAACTGAAACAGTAGCTTGAGCTGGGCTTGGTACACGAGTCCGGGGTGCATATCTCCGAGAGGGGTACCATCTGGTCTAATGCCCGGAACGTTCTTGGTGTCGATGAGATCGGGATTCATGATCCATTTTGCAGCTAAAGATCCAAATATAATGCGTGAACTGGCGTTGGCTTCGGCCAAAGGAAGGGTGTGTACCGGTGATAGCGTCCTCGCGAACGAGGAGTAGACTAGGAAGCTGGAATCCAGCAGGGATAGGGATAGCATCCAGATACGGCTTTGGTTCTAGAATGAGTTCCGGAGAAAGCGTGAAAGACCCCTTGGCCATTGTGGCGGAAACGAGAGGGCAAGGACAAAGCGGCCTAAGCAGGGAGGGGAGGGGAGGAAGGTCAAAAGACGGACGCGTCGCGAACGTCAAGCAATTTACAGCGTTCACTATAGCCACCGAGGACGACACTTTAGGTAATTTTGCGACGCGTCGCGTCGCCTCATGCCCTCATGTCGTATTACGGACTTAATTGACCTGCTGACAACGTGCTAGTGTTGCAGATAGACAAATATTTCGCGTATGAATGCGCTCAAGATGTGTATTCAATCCGTGGCACGGGCGGCTGTGAGACTACATCGTCATGGGCAGCGTACAACTTGAAGCAGCGCTTTCAAGTTGCATTCAAGCAGGCTCCGGCGTCACAGTTAATCTGAGAGGCGAACACGGCGCATCCGTTACTACAAGCCATCCAGATCATACCAGGGAACGGGATGCGAAAACTAAAATGACCCGGACTTACTCGCTTCCCCCCCTCCCCCCCCAAACTCCTTAACATTCAATGTCGTTCTCCGCATCTGTCGCACGCCAGTTGAGAACGCTGAGTGGTTGTGGCACAACGCCTGTGTAGTTTGCATGTTTACGCCAGTCTGGATCGTATGGAATCTCCCTTAGCTCAGTAATGGTTATGACCGCTACATCATATAGTGTTAGTAAACACTCGTGATCATAGACTGTTACGCACATATGGTCAATGTTGATGGGATTCTGTTGTCAGCCGAAAAGTACATCTCGAACCAGGGGTAAGAATACTTCGCCGGTCCCCTACCGTGGTCATATTCCTTTAGCATCTCGTCCATCATCTGCTCAATTTCTTCTCCACTAGGCCCAGTAAGGGGTCTGTCTCGCTTCACATCTGCCAGACAAAAAACACCCATCTTGACAGCTTCGAAGCGCCGTGCCGGGTGCTTACTGCTCGCAACTCGGCGAACCTCAGTCATGATAATATGACTACGCCCGCGGCTTGGATCTCGACGAAGTTTCAAAGCGTTGACTCGGGCGGATTTCATTTCTCCAGGGAACTCCATGTTGCGCCACGTAATCCAGTCCGACATTAATTGGCTATTCTCTATATCACCGGAAGCCTTTAGCTGGTCGGCAAGCATGAGAGTTTGGGTATGTTCTCTGTGATAGAATCAAAATATACTGCTTATCAAACCAAAGAAGAACGTCGACGTACGCGCAAAATTGCCTGAGTAAAACTTGTTCAAATTGCACCTAACAAAAGGTCATGATCGACTCACTTGTGTAGAGGCCAATGCCCCCTTTGACATGCTTTAGAACTGTTCAAATAAGCCGGATGACTCTTCAGGTGATAATAAAATGACAAACCAGTAAAATGTGTATCTGCATTTGGAACACTGAAAAAGCTTTACTGCCGGATCTCCTTTGGAACACTGCTGGCATCTTCGCGTCGTTCGCTGGAGAGACTTGAACGACAGTCCACGGCGTTTCAATGCTTCAACTCCGCCAATAGCCAGCAGAATTGGATCTGTACTGGAATCCGTATCAGAGGTGCCAAACAGGTCTCTCAGCTCGGAAGCTGAAAACTGAAAGCGGTTTTTCTTGAGCCACTTGGCGACATGCGCCTCGCTATAATAAACAGGCTTAGACGTCGAGTTAAACAGGTGTAAGTAGAAGACAATACAAACAGATATTGTGACTCTGCATCGCCCCCAACTCCGCGACGACGGAGAACACGTGCAAGATATACACGGCATGTGATAGCGTAGAGTGTGCGTGGCGCTTGGTCCCCTGGCTTCTCAAAGGCGGCCAAGGTTTTCCGCAGTACGCACTCAGCCTCTTCATCGTTCTCGAGCGTGCGAGCGAGGGCCACGCCGTGTTCTGCATATGTATCCCTGTTTCTCATAATAATTAACATAGAACAGATACAAAAGCTTCAAGAAATGCTCACGGATCATGAGATAACATGTCGAAGTTAGTCGTATCTTTGCGCCCATATCGTAGATGGAAATCGAACATTCTCTGAAAGTGCACTAGTGACTCTTTTGGTCGATCCACTGGAGCACCCCTTAAGCCACAGTAAGCATGCTGAAGCCGTGGATATTGAAGAAACAAGTTACAATAAGTGCTTGATCAATTTATCTTCACAGTTCACAATCTGAATGAGCATACGGGATTGATATCAAGGATCCCGCGACGGCACATCACATCACTCACCAGACCATAACGGGCTAGCCCAAGCAAAGCGCCTGTTTGTTTGGGAAGTAGATTTTTGCAGCCCCTGAGTTGTCCCTCCGACGCCTCCTCAGCTGCCTGAGATAGCCATCGCAGGGCCCACATACACTGCGGCAGGATGTCGAGCGGGACTGAGGGGTATATGGAGGGAGCTGATGAGAAACATAAACAGCAAGACATCGTATGGGTAACCCACCAGTGTCGGGACGACAGTAGCCAGCAAATCGGAATAGATTGTTAAAACGATTCTGGTATGCAAGTCCCAGATGCAATCTCCCGAGAAGGGTGCCGTCTTGTTCCATGCCTTGTACATTCTTGTTTCTGAAGTCGAGGAAATCATCAGACTCTACGCATTTACTCGCTGAAGTTTCGTAGCTAAATCGTTAGTGACGACTTTCGAGTATAGATGAGCGTACCACTGAGAGCATCTTGGCGGACGAGAACTATATCGGGAAGTTTGAAGTTATCTGGGAGGTTCTCGCCACCAAATCTTACATAGGGAGTTGGTTCTGGGATCTCTTCGCAGAAAAGAGCGGGTCTATCCTCTGACATTTGACGTTGTTGCTTGTCAGAGGGTCTGAGTAAAGCACACAGCTTGTGGTATATGGGAGCGATGTGCGAGGGGGCGGATTCTGGGAGCAACCTATAATAAGCACCGGAGTTTAAGCTTAAGATGAGGTGGCGTGCACATGATACGCCAAGTTTAGTGCACAGTTAACCTTGCTAGCTATAGGATTATCCAAGGTGATTGTGATAGGAAGATGGCGCGCAAGATAACCCGTCATGCATTCACGGTCTGTCATGGCCCAATAATCTAGCTATCCCTCATTCTGACTTAGAGTAACGAAGGACAAGCGACAAGCGGGAGCACTTATGCGCGCTGGTGGTAGCTAGCGCAATACCACAGCCAAGGCTGCTAGGTCGATGTTCTACAAAGAGGATTGTGGATCATTAATGTCATTATACCGAGTGAGGGGGGTGTATGTCAATAAACAAAGCATATGTGTATAGTCTACGTATTGATAAAAGCAAAACATGGTGAATCAAAGCAAGCGAGCATCAGGACAACGTCAGAGGCATGTATGCGCTTAGGCCTCAATAAATTTCTTGACATTATCCAGCCACTGGACGTACTCCTACATAAACGTGTGAGCACGAACGTCATTCATCGGAAACACTCGACGAACCTTTTGCTCCTTGAACTCGGCATACTCAGGAATAAACGAGGCCATGGTCTCATCAACGCCGCGCGCCGCGAGCCACTTCTCGACCTCCTCCTGCACACCAGCGTCGAGCGTGTCGAAGCTGGGGCCAATGTACAGGCCACGGCGACGCCAGTCAGCCTCGGCGGTGAGATCCGTACCGAGCTTGCCGTCGGGGTAGAAAGAGATGTTGTCAATCAGGAAGGTGCCCTGCTGGCAGACGGTATCGATGTTGAGCGAGCCTTGAGCATTCTTCTTCGTCACCGCGAGCGAGGCACGGATGGGGAAGGCAACGGCGGGCGTGGGGGCGTCGCCCATCTCCTCGTCCATCTCTTCGGGGGTCTCGGCTTGCTGGATGTCGGCAATGGAGAACATGAGACGGAGACTGATAAACGGGTTAATTCGTTGCATATGGAGACAATAACAGGGATAACGCACGTCTCGCCGTCATGCTGACGCGTCAGGGTAACCTCATCATTGCCCGCGACATCCTCAACAGACCAGCCGCTCTCAGTCTTGAACTTCGTGAGGAACTCTGGAGTGTCCTCTGCCTCGGCGATCGCGCCGCGCTCGAACTTGAGTTCATCAGCGAGCTTTTGAGCAAGGAGGGTGTCCGCTGCAGGATCAAGGGCATACGTGTCAGGGGCTTGATGGTGAAACCGAAGAGAAGATGAAGCGAGAATCAAGGACACGAGAAAAAATGTCTTGTCAGACGTCTGAACAGGTCGGCAGTGCCCAGCGGCAACCCGCTGGCTAAGCATGCCATGCATTTTAGTTCAATTGGTCATTGTGTAGGCTTCTTGCGATTGGATGCATGCAGCACGTTGAAACCAAAACAGAAAGAAAGGTGGCACAAGGTAAGGGTTAAACGAACTGAGCACGTACAGCCACGACGAGCCGAGCTTGCGAAACCCCTCATAGCGAGGCTGCTGACGCCGAGGCTGCGAGGGAACGCAGCACGGAAGGGGGCAGCGCGCGCAGGGCGAGCAACAGCGGAGAGGCGAGCAAGGGGAAGGCGGTTGAGAGCACGAATGGCAGACATAGTGAAGATGAAGTGGTTGAGTAGAAGGCAAATGAGAGGAAAGGACGAAAGAAAAGAGGCTCAAGAGGCGAGGAGTGGAAAGGGGGTGGACTTATGTACGCGTCCAGACGCAAATTTTAAGCGAGAGCAAAGGGCCGCGTCTGACAGCCATATTTGTTTGGCGAAAACAAACAGACAATCGAGGAAAGCCCCTGAACTCTTCACTACACAAATGGAGTCGTTCCGTCTAAACCAGCAGGAACATCCCCGGGCAAGTTCGATATAAGCCCGGTAAAACATATGATATTACAATGATGTTAATTTACGACGATTAACAAGAGCCTTCGCAGAAGGCTAGTAAAGAAAAGCAGCCATTGAAGTAATGGCACACATAGAAAGCGAAACCCCAATGTAAAAAAAAACAACCGCTGGAGGCAAGCTGGAGGACCCATGAAGCACCCGACATCTAGAAAGGCTGCTCCGCAAGAACCTCAGAAATCTTGATAACTAATTCGTCTTTGCTTTTTAGCTGAGCCGCGAAGTACGCCTTGAGTCCCATAGGTCCCTTGGCGCGGATGACTTTGACGATTTCGTCATAGCCGCGTGGATTATCGGATCGGTGGATATAGCAGTTCAAGTCCCTTTTCTTATTGTAGACAAGGAGGGGTCCCTGTCCAAGATTGGACTGGACCTTAATTACCATGCTCTTCTCCGATGCGCCTCGTGTGCTGGCGAATGGCACATCAAATTTGGCCCCAGCATCCCTGGCGGTGCCCATAGCACGTCGGACGATGTCGGAGGTTGACATTGTAAATGCGTGGCCTCCATCCATATACGTAGGCTTCAAGGTGACCGTATTTTCCCCAGAGAACGACTGGCATTCGACTTTGTGAGTCTGCCAGTGAGAGACTATGGACGACATCGATTATATTAGACCCTCGAATCATGGACAAGTGTCAAGAGGCCAACAGCTCACCTTGACAATCCGTAGAGCAATACAAGACGGTCTGACAACGTGAGCACCTTTTCATATCGTCGGCCCGCTTGTGGCAGCTAGCACATTTACGATCATCCAGGGGAGCTTGCTCTCCCACTAGCTCACGCTTCGCCTTCCTCACAGCAGCCGTCATTTTTGCGCCACTATTGACGTAGAGTTTGTCAGGGGTGTCGCCATTAGCATCCGGAAGAGTCATATCTGCGCCGTTTTTGATCAGAATCGACATGATCCGGGTGTTCTCACCCTGAAGCGGGAAGAATATAGCAGTTTCTCCGTAGCGGTTGCGATGGTTTGGGTTAGCGCCTCCCTGAAGCAGAGCCATCGCGAGACCAGGTAGCTCGTTTGGAGGCGTGCATGCATGAAACAGCGCGGTCAGCCCGCAGATATCAGGCACATCCGGGGGTGCGCCGCATTCAAGCAGGTATCGTACTACTGCGAAATGCTGCAGACTCTCCTTTGGACCACTGATTACCCGTGAAGCACCCAGGACAGTTAATGCGAGGTAGCCAAGCCGTAAACCAGTTTCATGTCCGGTGAGGTCAGGAGCTGCGCCGCTCGTGACCAACTATATTCAACGAATATTCGCGTTTAGAATCGAAAGTGAGGGGATTGGTATCATACCTTCTTCACTTCATTAATTGATCCGAGGTAGCATGCAAGTACAAAATTCGAGAGAAGCTTGGCACTAAAATGCGCCGACACTAGGGAACAAATGATGCACGCCGGCAACTTGGAAAAGGTTTGACACTCACCATCTTGATACATGATCCTCAAAATATCGCCTCCATTGTCAGAATTAATGAACTCCAGTGTCTGATCAAGAAGTGCCTTCATGTTAGCTGGGATGCTGAAGCCTCCGCTCCCTAAGCGTTGCCTCTTCATGAATTTGGGATTTGAAGGCGCATATACTTGGGACCTTACCTGGCGTCCTACTCATCTTGAGACTGTAACTTGAGAGCTTTAGTTAAAGAGTTCTGGTAATCTCTGCTGATACAAGGGCGGGCGTCTGGGTGATAAGAGTGACTGAGAGGGTAGAAGCAAAGCTGCGCGCAACACGCGCGGGTGGGCAGGTGAGCGTTTCGCGAACTTTGTCCAAATTCCCACGTGGATGTTTCGGATTCCCTCTTGAGCTTGCGCGCTGCGCCGTGACTGCATCACCTCGACCACCTTGCACCGTGACTCTCACCTCACAGATAGAAATAACCTAGACATCTCCTGACACTATCCCACTCGAGCCTTTTGACGGAATGTCTGTCGGCATATAAACTTGGACCTTATCTTGGCAAGCTCCCTCGCGCTCATTCTCCTTGAGCCCTCTGTGTCTTGCACCCTCAATCGAATCCGTCCAGAATATCGTCGGATTACCAGAGCCGATGTCTGCAAGCATATGGCCAAAGTCTTGGCCAAAGTTTACCGGCACCACTCAACTTGAACATGATGCATCTCAAGAAACCTCTCAAAGGAATTATCAATTGATTAGCGGGTGCGGTTTATGCTCGTAATATGGTAAAGCACATTAGGAATACGGGTATGTACAAAAAAGCAAAGTCAAATAGCCATTAGCAAAAATATACAAGCACGTCTAAAACGGCTGTTCGGCGAGAACTTCAGAGGCCTTGACAACGAGCTCGTCCTTGCTTTTAAGGTAAGACGCAAAGTACGCCTTCAAACCACGCGGACGCCCGGGTCCATGCGCGCGGATCACCTTGAGCACCTCGTCGTACGCCGCCGGGCAGCTCTCCCTGTGAAGGAAGCACTGGAAGTCCCGCTTCTTGTTATATATGAGCATTGCGCCCGTGTCCGTGTCTACAGGCGCCTGAATCTTGATGACCATTCCCTTATTGGAGGCCTCGCGAGTGCTCTTGACGACCGACTCCTTGAGTTTGGAACCGTCGTCCGGCACACCACCAAAGAGTCGCTGAGTGACGTCGGCTGACGACACCGTGACGGCTTCTAGATAGTTGCTCTTTGGCATGTAGGTGAGCTTCAATGTGACTGTGTTCTTGCCGGAGAACGGGTTGCAGCTGGGTTTGTGCGCCTTCCAGTGAGATTCTGTAAGGTGTCGGGAATGGGTCAAGTGTTTACGACGGGTAGTGGTAGATAGCTCACGTTGACATTCCGTAGAGCAGTACATCGTGGTGTGACACGCCGAACACTGCTTCATTCGCTCCCGGCGTTTGTGGCAGTTAGCACAGTTCTTGTCCTCCATGAGACCTTCCTCCCCCGTAAGCTTACGTATCTTCTGACTGATGGCAGCCGTCAGGTTGGCACCATGGTGAACGTAGAGAGACTCAAAGCTATCTCCGTTGGCATCCTTCATAGTCAGGTCTGCGCCATGATCAATGAGGAGCGAGAGCAACTCGACGTTTCGGCCCTGGAGAGCATATAGGACGGGAACCTCGCCGTAGCGGTTACGGAAGTTCACGTTAGCGCCTCCTTAGAGTAAAGCAACGACGAGGCCCGGTTGCTCTCTGCGGGGCTGGCACGCGTGGAAGAGTGCCGTCAAGCCACAGACGTCAGGGATGTCAGGTGAGGCGCCGCACTCCAGTAGATACCTAACAAGAACGAGGTAATGAAGAGCGCTCTTCGGACCACTGACGACCCGCTGGGATCCAAGGACTGCAAACGCAACGTAGCCAATGTGAAACGCGGTTTCGTGACCAGTGAGATCGGGGGCCGCGCCGCTCGACACCAGCTACGCGCAAAGTCAGACTCGGCACCTATCAATGACGAGATCATACCTTCTTCACTTCATCAGCTATTCCTAGATAGCACGATAGCGCAAAGTGAGACAGTAAGTTGGGATTGAAGCTGGTCGATTCTGTAAAGCAAAACGGTCTACAATCGCCAGTGATGTGACAATAACCCGCAAACCTACGTGCTTGATACATCTTCCTCAGAGTCTCACCACCGTTTTTAGAGCTGATGTACTCCTCAGGCTTACTCAACATCGCCCTCATGTCAGCGGGGATGGTGAATCCTCCACTTCCTAAGTAGCGATTTGTAAGATTGGTCACTGAGGCTCGTGGAAACCCGTACCTGGAGTCGTGCTCATCTCCGAGTACTTGGCGTTTCCAGAGGGTTCCTCTGGAGTCCAACAACCTAGTAAATGCCCACAATGGCTTCAAAACAAAGGTCGTCCGTAAGGATGTGGTCAAAACGTTAGGATGAAATGCTAAGCTCGCGACGCGGTACGCGTGAGCCAATTTTCACACGCATATTGTTTCTCTTGGCACTTTCTCAAACCGGCCGGGCCTAAACAAAACCGGCGCGCGCGCTGGGTCTTTCTAGGTCTTTCGTTTCACCCGACTGCACTCACCGCACTTAAGACGCGTCGCGTCGCGAGCCTCTGGACGTGTCAAACATTCAAGATATCGAGCACGAGACGGGACAGTAAGCGCCTACTGATGCAGTGAATGAGTTTCGCATGCGTGGCATAGTAGGCCGGCGTTTGCTTACTTATTAGCATACCTAGTACCTAGTACCTGCACTGTCATCCTGCATGAATTTGTATTCCGCGTCCAGAAAACAAAGGCACATCGACTTCGGCAAATGAGGGTTCATCATAACGAGGGACAGGAGCTCATCCATTGCGTCTCATGGTTTTACTTAGTGCAGCTTATACAACGCAAGTCGTAGCAGATCCTTTGAGAGCCCATCCTCGCGCAGCAACGATGCACGGCTACAGAACCGAGCACTCCAAGCTCAGAGATGGTTTAATTAATCCAAGAAGAGCGAATGGCCAATGCACAAGACACTATAGCGGTACTGATTACAACGAGAGCAAGGACGAGAATGCATGCGAGACAACATAACTCGAGCAGAGAAGCATTATTGGGTAACGCCGCGCTCCAGTGCACGGCAAAGCCCGTTACCGCGGATTTTTTCAAACCGGCCAATGAATTACTGACGTTTGCGTTCGACCTTGCCAACACGAATTTTAAAAATAAAAATCCCCAAAAGGCAGCTGCGTCCACGTGTCTGGGTCTCGTAGTCATAAGTAATCACCTATTCTCCTCGTCTACTACGGAACTGGGTATTTATAAACCACCTACACCATCTGAGAATACTCGCCACGTTTGATAAGATAGATCAGTCATAGCATAAGTCAGGAATGATGATTCATGGCCTGGTAAGATACTCAGTCGGTTACGGAGGTAGTCAATATTAATTACCAAAAATTGACTTATAATTAACAGTCCGATTGAGTCCAAGCTGCATGTTAGCCACGTGTTGGCTTGGCGTAGATATGATCTATTTGTATTTATTTTTTCCGTTCGGCAAGGTCGAACGCAAACGTCAGTAATGAGGTATAAGTATCAAATCATGGCGCTCAGGCTCTCTATGACCATGAACTGTGGACGAGGCATATTTTCCATAACTTTGGACGCGAGTTGAGTCTGAAGTCACGGCATACAATGTTCACCAGTCACTGGCGCGGCCACCAACAGAACACGTACATCGTAGCAAAGAAGACTGAATAAACTAAAATTTAAATACAAGGACCAAGACATTTAAACCATACCGAATCTACTATCTTACACATACCTATGAATTAAAACCTAGACAGCTGTTGAGAACTGAAGACGCCACACACGGGCGTGAAATTTGAATCAATCAACGCCGACTCCCCTGCATGCACATCCAAAAGTTGACATGACAAAACGTCACTAAGATACACTCACTCAAGAACAATAATGGGTTGTGTAAAAATCAACTGGGTGCGCAGGTCACCTTCTGAAGCATTGCCATCCATTGAAACTGCAAGCAAGTGAAGGCTCGCCACATCCGAAATGACTTACGGGGCAGTGTTGCTACGCAGGGTGTTTGCGGATAAATCAATAGCATTATCGCACAAAATGGCGCCGACAGGCACTATCTCGATCCTTAAGTATGTCGCAAGATTACTCGATATGACACTTTGAAAGAGGGATGGGTCCGAGTCAGCTGCAGAGGCTGCAGTCCCGTTAACAAAAACTAACATGGTGGTTGAGGACAGGAGATAGGAAAATGAGACTGTACAGTATGCCGTAGATGACGTTCAGTAGTTGTTCAGTGCGAGCGCAAAGACGCCATAACAAGAGAAATGTCTTGGAAATGTCTCACAAAACAAGACCAGAGGCTGTACCATGTTAGGTCACATGACCTCGTTCAATTTTTCAATCGACCAGCCATCTGTCGTGCCGTTAGCAAGCCCCTCTAACCCAGTTACCTCTAGCGGTAACGGGAAAATGCAAAGGACCCTGACTGATCCAACAAAGAGAGGCAAACTGAACTTGGTCTCGGATATTCGGTGGAAGAAACGTAGGTGGGGAAAAATTAGTATAATGATAGATCTGGGTCCGAAGAAGCCAGATTCGACTTTTAGCTGGAACGGGGAAATCCAGAAAAACAACCAAAGGGACGACCCGCAGGCAGACTCCAGCAGAAGATATCATTAAAGTCGGTACAGTATTTACAACGCCCAGCGAGCAAACAGCTAAAGCGGCACTCAGCACTAGCAAACTAGCAGCAACAACAGCAAGAAAACTCTCCTCGACAGTCCAAAACTCTGTACGGTATGCTATCGTCCAATGCATGAAAGTCCCCACTCATCTCGAAGCTCGAAAGCGCTCAATCTGGCTGAAGCTGTATCCTAACACTGGCCAAGGAAGCTATTCTTCGGCTCCGTCTGGCCGTACCCGCCCGCCGACGTGTCACCCGTCCACGTCGTCAAGTTAGGGTTATTGTATGCGTCTGCATACCTGCGCGTACAATCACCATGTAAGCGATCGCGGGCAATGAGAAATAGAAAAGGTCCAAACGCACTGTTGGATATATGCAGCCGTCGGGTAATCTTTCGGATCGCACCCAATGTTGACAGCGTTTTTCGGCTGGTACACCCGCACCCAGTCAATTCGCATCGTCGTCGGAAAGACTAGGTTCGCGACGTCGACCGTAACAAAGTTCTCGGACATGGCCAAGTTAGCGATGATATACTGAGCGAGTGGTACGAGTCAGTGTTTGCAAAGAAGGCCTGATAGGAAAATTAGAATCCTACCATTGGCTCTTGGGGGATAGGCCGGTCGTTGATCTCTGTCTCCGGGTCAGCGACCATCCCGCCTGCGTCGAGGGTCCACGCGACATCGCCGTTGGCGACCCAGCTGATGTACTACACATATGCGTTATTAGTCAAGTGTTCAGCCATATCAAGAACATAAAGAACATACACCGCTCTGATTCTTATATCCTGAAGAGAAGCGATTAGCTTTCTAGCGACGAAGCGGCGATTACACAACCAACCTGGCTGGTATTCGTATCCATAAACCTCATAACATCCGGTGTTCTGGTCGAAGCAATCCGGGTCTACCCATCGTCAGCATACCATCTTACAGGCTAAATGACACGACATACTAGCTTTAGTGACAGCAGACGTCGCTTGCTGATAGACACCACCAGCATACGAGTTCAGCTGAGTAACAGACGAGTCTGCGATGTCAAAGTTGCCAGTCGTATTGTCCCAGATATACTCATGGTTCATCGGCTGTAATGGCACCCCGGGTTAGTGACATCTATCGAATGCACTCAATTAGGGCGCTTACCGCCCACTGCGCCGACTGTGATAAACCGGCTGAGTCCACACCTCCGGACACCTAATTCACCCATAAATTATCTGCCGCAAAAGTGAGAACCATAACAGATAAGCGCACCTGCGCCTCAAAGAGATCGATTTCGGGAGCTGAGCGTCCCACAAATGTTCCATCGCTGTGATAGGGACCAGGGTGACTCTCTCCGGGACACGTACAGCGCGAAAGCCGCTGTCCCTCCAGGTAGGATAGGGCGCCGCCATTACTCGGATCACCACCGCTAAGTGCGGCAGCAGGACCGCCGTTGTATGTTTGATTTGCCACAGTACCGACGTCGCAGGAGTCGTACACGTACGGCCACTGTGGGTCATTAGTGCATATAACTAGCGACATGCGAGAAGAATGCTTACCAGGCCGTCGAGCGATGCACCGTAGCCCATTCGACCTATGCAATATCAGATACGGCATCCGAATATCATTTGTCAAGCTCACCTAAATTACCCATAGTCCACACAGCAGGCCACATGCCTATGATTATGTGTTTGAGGCAAAACCGATAACAAGATCCGATACGACGTACCACTGACGGAACTCGACCCAGGGAGGCTGACATTCACCAAGATCATCCCACCGGTGAAACAGAACTTGTTCCACGTCGTGAGAGCACCGCTCATGTAGTTGAGGTTGTTTATCTCTTTCTCTGACATCGTGATCTCGAGTGAACCGTCCTTGGTGACGATAGCTTGTGGGGAGTACCACTCGAGATCGTTCGTCTGGGCAGTATACATTGGTTAGCGATGGTCAGATGCTTCGCCTCGCAAGATCACCCACCTGCCAGTAGTGCAAGTCCACTGCCTCCCAGTACGGATCGTCACCGGGCCAGAACGTTCTTCCTGGTGTCTCAAACTCGTCACTGAACACGAGCTGCCACTCGCTACCGTCCGCAAATGACTTGTATGTGTGAGCGCTACTCGGTGTGTCGGCGTCGATGAGACCATAGTTGCCGATCATTTCCGGAACCTGTCGCACGTTTGAGCCATGTGCGTATATGCGGGCCGAGAATGAGCACGTACCTGTCCACTCGCGTTGATCCCACCAAGGTTGAACCCCCCGAGGTTTGATAATTGGTTCGTAGTGAAGTAATGAATGATAGGATATCCAGCGCTAGTCATTGTAAGAAATGTGTATCCAACAGACGCAGTGGTAGCTTACAATAGCGCGAGGAGTCCAACGACGAGGACTACGAGACATCCGAGATTGGTAAGACCTCGATAGCTGACGATACTGCCGCCGCGGTCGCTCTTTCGATCGCGTTTGGGATCAGGGTTATGTATCCAATCATCAGGCTCCTGGAAGTCGGGAGATACATTCGAACCCCATACAGCAGGGTCAGCGGGCAGAGAGAACTACAAGAGGAACGTGGTTAGGTCGTGTTGGGACTTAGATAACGTGGATATGTGAAGGGCTGTGGGGGGGCTGCGGAGCGCACCTTTTCTGATACAGAATTGGTTTGATACGAGCGTCGGTCGAGGACGCCTTGATTGGTGGGCGAACCGTTCTACAGCCCGAGACCATATCAGTCGGCGAGTGGAAAATGGTGAAGTATCTGCATACCCATGAAGTAGAGCCCGACGACGTGAACGACTGCGTGTTGGAATATCTAGGCCCTTGGGCAAAGGCAGCCTCTGGGCTTCGGTGGTTGGTCTCTGTGCTTTGGAGCAGACTGGCTGTTGACGGTGAATCGGCGAGTTGAGGGTATGGGCGACGCTGACCGGAGGCCGCCATGGTTAAAGAGAGTGGAGGAAGCAGGGAGGAAGATGAGAAAGAGAGAAAGCGAAGTGGAATCCTCGCGTCTCCACTAGCTTGGAAATCTGGCACGCGAAGAATAGCACTCAGCTGTCCTTATTAATTATTCGGGGTGCATTCCAAAATACAAGCCAGTCAAAAAAAGGCGCAATCACCGCCGCCACCACGGAATATTCGGCAAGTCTCCTATCCGCAGTCTGCAATATTGAGCAGGCGTTTGTATATATCTGGGGCCAGGCACAGGTATTTCTCAGAATAAACGACTCAGCATTCGTCGACTATTTTTAGCCTGGCCTATTGTTAGCACGTTTTCTGTTCAGGTTGAAGTGCTCGAACCCACCTTGACGTAGATCTGCGCTCTTATCAACGCCTCTAGCTCGACCACACACCATATGACGTAGAGGGCTACATCGCAGAAACCTTGAACGTCGATTCTCGCATCGTCCAGAGACAGACGAGGATGGAAATGAAGCGACGACTTCCCGTGGAGCACGCGGGAGCACTCCGTTATCGTTTCATTCCGAGTTCCCGCTCCCCGTGGAAACCGTCAGAAATCCATGGACGAATCCTATGTAGTGCGTTGACCGGGCCCAGGAATGGTGGTCGGCATCCCTGGAACCTTGTGAAAGCAGGTCGGCGGCGACGTCAATCTTGATGCGTTCGTGATACTGCGGATCTAACCAGTGCACAACGTTAGTCAGGACAAGCACCTTGAAGAAACCGTTGGGTGTAGAACTCACGCACGGCGCCCTGCATTACAGCCCCTGGACTTGTGAACTTGTCACCCTTCTGAACATAGAAACGTCAAGGGAACACACCGACGACCGCCTTGTGTGCCTGGCTTCAGACATGTGTCAGTGGCTGTGCTTTGCTTTCCCACGAGCCGCAGCCAGAGGTGGCGTATCGAACCCCATCGAACCTCGCAACTTGCTCGCAACCATCTTACTGAATCATGTCTAAAGCCTTATACGCCCATCCACAACTATGAAGCTAGAAAGATCTAGGCGAGGGAGAATCGCGCACAGAACCTACAGTGATGTTTGAACCCGCCAATGAAGCCGGCCAGGATGCATCCCAATTAATCTGTAAGGTCTTCTGTGTTTTACATCCGTGAGGTGCCATGCACCCTTGTGCACCTAAACATCATGTACTCAGATTTGCTAATGGTTCAGGTCTATGGGATACGACATCTGAGGGCGCACATCAGTGACTCTTTGCTCTATTCGATCGCACTCCCTCTGTGTCCGAGTCTGAAAGTGCGCTTCACCCATAAGACAGTGGGGAAAGCCAGCGAGGGCTTCTCTTGCCTGAATCCATGGGTGAGGTGGATCCACTATTCTGCATCCAAGCTTTGCTCATCGTTGGGCGATAGGGCCGGTAACACAGACGATGTTGAACTACTAAGCTCCACGAAGTGCGGCGAGTGGTCAACGTGCTCGATGCCAGGTCCTTACTGCGAACGGGCTTGGAGGTAGCTGGGGATTTCCAAGATTGGCAGTATAAAACCCGTTCTTGACGCATTGCTTCCATCGATTGCAACAGCTGCGCATGCGCGCTGCGCGTTCAGGGGCAGCACAAGGTGAACGTCACTGGCGTACGCAGTTCACCAGGTCATCTGCGGCTTTTCCTTGAGAATTCGTGATGGCTCCAAGTATTAAATAAGGCCAATGAGGGCTCTTATCAAGTGTTTGACCTTCTGTGAGCAGTTTTGTTTTAATCCCACTTCTTGCTATAGTGCGTCGCTCTTTGCACAATTTACAAGCATGTACACTGATCAGCCAATGTTCTCCTAGGAATCACGATGTCAACCCCCGCCACCTTGGCTCAGGGAGAGGTCAGCCTTGACGTTCCGGATGCTGGCGTTCCTTGCAAGACATGGTATAGAATCCACGGCGACATCCATGCGCAGACGCCTACTGTACTTCTTCACGGCGGCCCGGGGGGCACGCACCTATTCCTCGAGCCCATCGAGCAGCGCCTCTCCACGCCCACAATCACCTACGACCAACTTGGCTGCGGGAACTCCACACATCTCCTACACAAAGATCAACCGGAAGGCGCGAGCTTTTGGACCGTCGACCTCTTCATCGCTGAGCTCGAGAACCTGCTCGAGCACCTTGGCGTACAGGAAGGGTACAACGTCCTCGGCCACTCCTGGGGCGGCATGCTCGCCGCTGCGTTTGCCATCAGAAAGCCGAAGGGGCTGAAGAAGCTCGTTTTATTCTCCGCGACGCCGAGTCTTCCGCTATACAATGTCGGAAAGTTCTCAGAGGCGTGCCGACGGGTCTGGACGGGTATTGACTCTTGCCGCGTCGGCAATGCGTCAAAACGGGTAGCGGCATCGTCACGATCGTCGCCACGGTCGTTAGGGTGCCGTCTGGACGGCACGTAAACTATCCTGACGCTTTGCCTGTCGCCGAAATGCCAGCCGGATAGTTCGGATCGCCAACCGAAGTATCCAGACGCATCCAGACGCATCCAGACGACTCAACCCATCCAGATGCGTCTTGACGCGTCAAGACACTCACCGCCCCCGAATTGACGTTCGCCCCACCCGTTGAGACGCTGTATTCCAATAATTTCCCTTTCGCGCCACGCAGTATAGCCCAAAAACCAATATATATTGAACTACTATAGGTACACGGTTTGTAGCAATATCCTTCAACTACGTAAAATGTACTGGGGGTCACGACAGTGGAAACGAAGGGCGGAGGGTAAACTTACTCCGTGAGGAGCTGAAGAGAATGACTAGGGTTCGGATAGAGTTCGAATAAGCACAAAGGAACGATGAGCACTTGCATGGGGACTTACATACAAAACAGACAAGCAGAATAAGCAACTGGCGGAGGAGCCAGAGGGTGGGGCGAGGACAAGGATAATGTTGAGGGTATTGGGGCGTTGAGAGCACTGAACGAGGGGTTGCCGAGCACGAGTACGGGTGCTGGGAAGTGGCGAGAGCGGTTGAGCAGCAAAGTGGCATCGAGTAGTATTAGAGGACAATGAGGAGTGATGGAAAGCCCCAGGACGTCGATGAGAACATGAGGGGAGCGGGCGAGGGCGTTGAGGGGAGCGGGCGAGGGCGTTGAGGGGAGCGGGCGAGGGCGTTGAGGGAAGCGGTCGAGGGCGTTGAGGGAAGCGGGCGAGGGCGTTGAGGGAAGCGGGCGAGGGCGTTGAGGGAAGCGGGCGAGGGTGTTGAGGGGAGCGGGTGACGGGAGCAGGCGAGGGTGTTGAGGAGACCTTGGGATATAGAAAAGGGTCTGAAGGGGTGGAGGAGGGTAGAGAGAGCGTCACGGGTGGTGCTGGCGAGGATAAAACGAGCGGACACTGACAACGTCGACGCTGTCGTGACACGTCGGAGGGTTGAATGTTGTAGTTAGAAGTCAAGGATGGACTGTGCGGACTTCGAAAATTTGATTATTATAGCGGGCTGATCGGACTTTAAAACTCCTAGGCGATAGGGGTATTGAAGATGGAAGGGACGAGGTCGCTGGAGAAGGAGCGTTGCTGGGCCTGCTCGTGCATGTGAGTCGATACTGGTCAGCCTATGACCTATACATACTATCACAGGAGAGGAAGGCGCGTGAGGGAAGGAAAGTTAGTAACTCAAGTCGATTGCGCCCAAGTCATATTTCCCATAGTTGGTACTTCATGTCGACTTAAAGCTAGCATAGATATGATCGTGTTGGCAAACAATTAACGGCGTAGAAATATATGATGGTGCTCTAAACAAGGATAAGATAGCTAATCAATAGCTACTAGTTGTTGCGATTCGAGCGACGAATCTTAGGAGCACCGGCTCCCGCACCTCTTCCCCGTGCTGCCTGAACCTGAGCTGCCGCAGTGTTCGCGCTGATTGCGCCCTAGTGATAGCTTGAGACCGCTGTGATTAGGTGTGGTAAGAGTACTCACATGGGACAGCGACTGCGATCGAGAAACCGGACCAGCAGAGCCAATGAGTGCATGAGCAGGAGCCCGTGTAAGTGCTCTCCCCTTCACTTGGGCTACATGGCTGACAGCCTCGATGGTTTCTCCACCATCCGAGTCGGTGGTGTCATCAGTCTGATCACCCAAGCTCTGAGCACCAAAGTGAACAAGTGATATCCTCGAGTCAGGAGCTGAGCTTACCGGAGGAGTGTTTGCCACCTGAGCTGCAGCCGAGATTGATTTCGGGGAAGCGGACATGTACTGCTGACTTGTACGTCGAGAAGATGCAGAAGAAAGCCTTTGTGCAGGATCAACTGCGATATTACCAGGTTCTTGATCCAGGTTGGGGCCAGTGCGGTGGGGAGATAGCCCAAGTGCTCCGATTTGTTGTGCGAGGGTATTGACTTCTGCGCTGGCAGGATCACCGGTGGATGGATCAGTGGGAGAAGATGTACCAGCCTCGTTGTAATGCTGGTTGAGACCGGCTAAGAATGCCACCTCTTCGTCCTCTTCGTCAGCAGCAGTGGCCCCTCCTTGCTTGTCTGTGTCAGAACTAGTCGATTTCGGAGGAATACCCAGGATCTGATAGTCATAAAACTCCATGACGTCGTTCCCCCACTTCGGGTCTGCTGTATACAAAAGCTTCAGCAGTTCGTCCCTGTCGCTAGCGTACGGTATGCCAGAGGGTGCGCCAGGAGTGACATACTCCGGGTCGTCAGTGAGCAGGTACCGAACCTTTCAGCACAGTCAGAACGTTAGTGTGCGTATATGCTGGATGACCAATGAACTTACATCAATTGCTGCTGTGGCAACCATTTCCGGGGTGATCTTGGTGACACTGGCACCTTTGGACTTGCCCTTCGGCCTCGGTTTGCAGTGGATGCTCAAACCGCTGAAGCCAAAGAGCTTAATGATCAGCGTCTATTAAGTGGGAATTAATCAGACAGTAAATAACGACGTAGGGAAACAAATGAACGCACATCAACAACAGGCATCGACTTGAGGAAATCCGGCTCATGAAGAGCGTCGGGGTCTGGGTACAGGACTGGCGCATATCGGCTGTACTTCTTCGATTTAACGGATCTCTTGAGCAGACGCTGTTTCCTTTCGGCTGTCAGCGGACCGGGGAAAATGGTGCTTCTATACTTCCGCAGCTCGCCCATGTATCCGCGACGCGCTAGATTGACACCTTTAATAAACTATTTGGGCGCAATTGAGTAAGATGTTGATAATGGTGATTGCTCGAAGAGGGCTGGCACTCACCTCGGTCCCTAATTCTGGATCCTGTTCGATGAGATCACGCAAAGGGTCATCAGAAAGAAACCTGTAGACATCAGCCATAGCAGCAAGGACCTCGGACTGTGAATTCGTCCAGCGGTCAGGAGAAGCAGGGTCAACATCCCGGGCTAGAGGAGATGGCGGGATGGAACCCTCTTTCACCCAAGGGCGAATGAGAAGGGGGAACAAGCGACCAAGAGATAAGAACTTTGACTGATAAATGATGGTCTCGAGGGAAAGACCTCTGTCGAAGTCCCGCCTCTTGTTCGCGGGAAGTAGAGCGTAAAGAACATTATTTTGCTTCTTCACAGTGCGATACTCATCGCGGAGCTCCTGGATCTCTCCTTGCGTGCTCTGGAGAACCTATAGTATTGAAATCGCTTTGAGTGACAACATATGAAGATCAATGACATTTAGTACATACCTTTCGAAGCTGAATATGACCACCACCACCAGCAACTTCTTCAATGGCGGCTAAAGCCCGAGAAAAGCGCTGCTCAATCTCATCGTCATCATCAATCTCTAGCAGCGCCCCGGGGTCCCCTTGAAACTCCTCCTCGTT